TGAAAACAAAATACCAAGTATTTCCTCCGCTGAAAAGTTACTTCTCCCTGACTTCCTGCTCAACATGTCCCTTATTTCCACTCTTTGCCCCAGGAAGATAAGAATTTGATCATTTTTTTACTTTCCCTCTTCACCCTAGCCACCCCTGAGCCTTAAGTTGTTGCAATTGTGTACTTGAGTTCTAAACTCTTGACTGGGTTTCTATTACACATTCCCAAGTAGTCCGCCTTGACCCATTTAGACTTCCTCTTCTCTTTACCTTTGTTATCTGAGTGGGTTTTGCTTTGATTTTTTTTTTTCTCCTCAGATGGGGTGGTCATTTGCCCCTGAAGACACTATGTTGCTCTGATTGCAGGGTCTCTCCAGCCAGCTTCTTTCCTCTCTGCAACCAGCAGATGCCAGTCTACTGCCCTCTAGTGGCCATCATGGAGGTGAGACGTTTAATGCCACATGGATTCTTTTTCCTTCATGGAAAACTGGATCTTTCTACCTAACGCCTTCCTAGTCCGTGTATCCTTGAACTTCAGACGTGGTATCAATAACACCAGGTTGGGTGTACTTTGTTTTCAAAGCATCCTGGAACTTGAGGAGTCTCCCAGTCCTAGACTCAGACGTTTAACGATTACTTCTCCTTGACCCATCTCTGTCTCTTTTACCTGCCCTTTTCATGCATGAGGTCTCATGTATGAAGGTTCTAAGTCTCTGGTCCTACCCTTCATGATTTCCACTTCTGTTTGTCTTTGCCCTGTACTGAGATCCAGGTCTCTAATTTGGGTTTCAACCATAACCATCTTTATCTGCTGCATTGCTCATTAGCTGGTTTGTTTTCTTTGTTCCTCCCAAAAGTGACCTTGGGGGCTTCAGTTTAATCCCACTTCTTGGGAAGTCTCTCAGCAAGCATCCCTCCTTGCCTCTTCCCAGCTTGCAGTGGTGGCCAGCAATCCTTGGTATCCTGGGCTTGCAGACCCAGCCCTGTAATCTCTGCACCCATCACAAGGCCATCTGCTCTCCACATCCCTAAATGCCTCTAAATCTCCCTCTCCTTAAAAGGACACCTGTCATTGGATACAGAGGACACATAATCCCAGATCATCTTATCTCACCTTGATCATATCTACAAAGACCCAATTTCCAAGTAAGATCACACTGGGAACACAGTTCAATCCACAACAGGCCCCCTTTTTTTTTTAAATTGGTCACTGGACTCCATCCAACCTAGCTATTGTGGACCAGCCACAGGCTTTACAAAGTAAAATGACCCTAAGCCACCCTCCTGGCAAGGCAGGACTGGAAGGGTGCCACGGCCCTGCTGAGACAAGTAGAGGAAACCTTAGATCTCCTGACCCCTTACACCTGACACAGGGTCAAGAAAGCTTCCATTCACCCATTGGGCTCTCCTGCCAGGTGTCCCACGGTCATCTGGTTCAACAGGGGCAGAAGGACTGGCACTGGGAGGGGAAGGGAAGGGACCTCAATGTTAAAAGTATCGAAGAAGAAAAGGTCTGGAACACAGGTTTGTGATGATCAGCCCAAGCTCTCGGGGCCTAAAACGCATCCATTGTCAGTCTGCTTATCTGCATTCCATCTCTGAGTCTGCAGACCTCAAAACACATGGCCCTGGTGTCACCAAAGCAGTAGCCAGCACTTTTCCATTTATATCAGTGACTAGGTTTGTGCTACAAAAATTTCCCTGCATTGTTGGAGTGGACAGTGTCACTTCCAATATTAATTCTTCCATCAGCTCAGGGATTCTTTGATACAAATCATAAGACCTTTTGTGTTACAAACATATGAGCACCTGGGTCGAAATATGTGGAGTTTCTCTCACTCACTAGAGCAGGCCATGTAAAAATTGGGGCTGGCACCATGGCTGGTACAGCAGGCTAAGATGACACCTGCGATGTCAGCATCAATTATGAGCATCAGTTCGAGTCCCGGCTGCTCCACTTCTGATCCAACTCCCTGCTAATGTGCTTGGGATAGTAGCAGAAGGCGCCCACCACCTACATGGGAGATTAGAATGGAACCCCAGGCTCCTGGCTTCCATCTGGCCCAGCCCACACCATTGCAGCCATTTGGGAACTGAACCATCAGGTGGAAGATCTCTTTCTCTTTGTCTCTCCCTTTCTCTCTCTGTTACTCTGCCTTTCAAATAAATAAAAACAAATCTTAAAAATAAAAATAAAAGTGAAGAAATTTAGCTTTCCTTTTTCATTAAGGAAAAAATATAGAAAACAAAAGTGGTTGCCTTTTCCATTATCTTGAATAATCTTTGAGAGTCAGAAAGTCTTGGGAGAAACTGCTGCCTCCCACCCTCTTGCTGTAGGCAACCTTTTGTCCCCTCTGAAGTGAGTGGCTTTCAATCCGAGCTCCCCAGAGTTCTGGGCTCTCCCAGAGGAAAGAAAGCCAGAGGCCTTCAGACCTCACCCCAGAGCCCTCCAGCTGGGCAGCTGCCTTTCTGTTTAGCTTGTTTACACTTCACAAGACTTCCCTTAAACAAAGGCTTCTCTGGTTCAGGCAAGTTTGAAAAACACTTCAACACTTCTCAGAAGCAATTCCGGGTCAGGTTTCTGTTTCCCAGCCATCAGTACATTTGGAACCCTGAGCCAACGTGATTTTATGTCACCCACGTACAATACCATAATCCCCCAATGCTCTAAAAGCCGATCTTCTATTTCGAATGCTTGTACTGTGTGTTGATGCCGAAGGATTTATTTCAATAAATATTTTGAAGCAACATGATGCACACTTTCCACGCTCGAGGACAGCATCCGAGCTCCTACAGAAGAGAATCGTGTGCCCTTCAGTTGTATGGGTTGCCCTGTTTGGTAGGAAAGAGTCAGGTGGTGAATGGGTTGAGGACGCTTAATCATGCCTGCATCAGTCCCCCTTCCGCAGAAGCAGCCATGGGGGGGGGGGGGGCCTGTGCCTCCACCTGCCCCCAGCCTGCCTCTCCTCCCATTCCCAATTCTCCTAGAATCAGCTCCGACCCATCTTTGAGGATTAAATGTCCTTTTCTCAGGGAGACCCTCTATGATCCCTGAACTCAAAGCAAGGTTGATTTCCCTGTTCTATGCTTGTCATAAGCATAGATGTTTACTTGTATGTTAATTGCCTCACTAACCCTGGAGCACCTCAGAGAAAGGAAAGTTGTCCATCTTGTTTCCCATTGTACTCCTACCACTTAGCGTGGTAGATTATTCACCATAACTATTGGTTGGATGAATGAATGACTCATTCATGTTTCCTTCGTTTAAAGTATTGTAAGTCATCGGCCAAGCATCTATCACCCTTTTCAGTGTACACATTGCCACTCGTGCTGATCATTGTGTGGAGTACAACCAACTATTCTAACCTCTGGGACCAATCACTGACTCGGGAAAATCAGACACAAACATTGAAAAAATATTCAACCAGTGGCAGATTAGAGACTAGTTTCCCAGTTCCTGGTTTACTGAATGAAAAGTAAAAAAGCAGTGGGTTGTATCAGCAGGCGCCTTGGAAACTGGGAGAAAGGAGAGGAGGGGGGTTTGGAGCTGCTTTCTGCTGGTAGATAAGGGGTGGGGGTGGCAGGGAAGGCAGTCAGTGAGCCAGGGGCAGGGTCGCTGCCATCACAGACGTGGGAGGACCTCTCAGTCACTCAACTCTTACTGGGCATTGGCTCTGCGGTAGGCACCATGGGATACAGTGGTGAACTGAAAGAAACACCCCTGCCCCCACGGAGTCCGTATTACATATATAAAAAGGAAACCAAGTCTCCGTGCCAGGTGGTAATGAGCTGTGAAGAGTATGAAGCACAGCGGGAAACTAAAGCACATGAGAGTAAGGGCCAATGCTGCCTGAGACCGGGTGGTTGAGGAAACAGTCCCCAAGGAGGCATAAGCCACGTGGAAGGCTGAGAAGACAGAAGTCAGGACAAAGGGACTGGGGCCAACGGTGTGAACAGCGCGTTAATCACCACTTGTGACGCTGGCATCCCATATTGCATAGGAATCCTGGTTCGAGTCCCAGTTGCCCAACTTCCAATCCCATTCCCTGCAATATGCCTGCCCCAGTCCTGGCTGTTATGGCCATTTGGGATGGCCATTTGGGGAGTGAACCAGCAGATGGAAGACCTCTCTCTCCTTCTCTCTGTCTCTCTTTCTTTCTCATTCTGCGTTTCAAATAAATAAATAAATCTTTGAAAAAGAAAACTATTGGTGGGTTTTAAACAAAGGTGAAAAGATCGATAACTGTGAAGAAATTGAAAGCTGCCAGCTCTCACTAGTAGCTCACTGAAGCTGCATCCGAACCTAGTGAGACAGAGGATCTTCCTCAATCAGCCAGGTCAGAAGGATGCCAGGTGCCACTGTCTGGGGCCTGATGAATGGTCCCCCAGGGAGTCTTCACTAAAACAAAGGGATGGCTCTCACCACGGTGCTGGGACTCCGTGAACTCGCAAAGGAAGCTGGGAGACGGACATCTTGCCACGCTCCTGAAACCAGACCCCAGAAGCAGCTCCTTGCTGCACGCGGACTCAAGGCCAAGTCCTGGGCATTACTTGGGCTGAAAGCACAGGTCCACAGATACCTAGGAGACGTTCGGAAGGATCAAGTTTATCAGGGAGACTGCCTATCCACCCAAGGTATCTCAAGCCAGGAGGACTTGGCTTGGTCACATCTCCACTTTAACTGGAGCATGGACAGGACATGTCCGAGTGATTTTCTCTGAGGAAACATTTCTGCAGACCAAGAAAAAAACGTTGGGGAAAGTGAGAGACCTCAGGAAGGGCACTTCTAACTCTCTCTTTGAGAAGAATGAAATTCAGCCAGGATATACTCCCGGGGCTGCGACAGTGTGCACAGAGCCCTTAAACTCAGCTTGCTGTTTTGGTTTTCACACTAAGCCCTCTGGCTTCAGAAAAAGCAGGAAGTGTGGGCTGTGTTCCAAGCCAGCTTTGAAGCTAGGACCAGAGCAGGGCAGAGGGTATTGGACAATTGGGGGGAAAGAGGGGCGGGGAGCGAGGCATGAGATAAGAGGCCGGGCCACATAGGCACTGTGGATTTAAGAAGCTACAAAGCAAGGACGTCTCCACCTCCTGCCCTCCTCTCCGCGTCTCCAGGCTGCTTCAGCTCAAGAAGAGACTCCAGTGCTGGCCCTTAGTCCTCTCTGCGGCTGGCACTAAAGAGCAGTGCCACCGAGAACCGCAAGGCAGAACTTAACCTGCAGGGACAATGCCCTGCCCATCAAGGCCCAGTGACTTGGTTTTCTTTGTGAATGGGAGGAAGGTAAGTGTTGGGTGTTTCTACTGTGGTTTATAAGGACACTGGGAAACTTCCACTCGAGAAGAGCTCATATGGCGCATTTGGGTTGAGACCCCTCCAGTCAAGGTCAAGAAGCCAGGAACTGGGAACCCATCCTAACTTGGCCTGGCCCCTTCTCAATTATAGCTCAGCTCCCTGCAATGTGTGTCTTGGGCTGGAGAGAGGAAAAGCCTTGGAGTTGGTCACAAGGGCCCTGGTGTCCTTGACCCACTCTGGCCCTGCCATTTCCTGTATAACCTCATGCAATGTATGGGCTCTGGGGTCCTCACCTTTGGGCTCCACTTTCCAGGAATGTTGTGAGGATTTAAAGAAAGTTGTTCCTTTCATTGATTAGGAAGCCCCCTAATGGTTGCTAAACCACTTAGTGCTGGGCCTGGTATGTGAAAGCACATTAGCTAGCTACATATCTTGGTTTTCAAACTCAGGAAGACAAGAAATGGAGCTCTCTTTACTTTTCTATTTATCAACTTAATTTTTAATTGTTAAGTTTTTAAATTAACTTTTAATTCATTGAGTCTCCATTATACAAGCTTGGTTGGAATGGAATCATGGTCAGTCCAGAGGCCTTCTCTTTCCCTGGGTCACAGCCAAGTTCCAGGGAGAACCTATGTGACAAGGGCAGAGGATCTCCTTTGCCATTTTTCTTTGTCGTCTTCCTCTCTAGTCCTTACCACCCACCCATGCAGGCCACCAGTTACCCTTGGTGCCCTGTGCCAGGCCCTCCCTCTCCCAAATATTTCTGCCTGTCTCTCAAAGGAGCCATTCTGGAGCTCCTGGGGCATGTGGCTTCTCTGGGCCTTTCCCCCTTGCCTCCAGGACCCCTCAGGTGGTGGGGGTATGGCTATGTCCACCCCATCCAGCACTTGGCCCAAGAAAAGAGATGACTCAGTGCCTGAGAGTCTCATAATTCCCTTTCTAAGGCTCTCTCTTGTATCCGGCTCCCCAGCCAGCAATCACCATGCAGTCTTCTGAAATGATCATCCATGAACTGCGCCCCTGCTTGCTAGTTCCACAGGCCTAGGCTTTGCAGACTCAAAGTCTGAAGGAAGCTCCTTAGCCTACCTTCTCTTCCATTTCCCTTCTGAGTCATGTGTCCAGAGTGTAGTATCTGCAGCCCAAAGAAAAGGCTAAATCAAGAATTAGAGGAAATACAACTGTGTGTGGTGGGGGTGGGAGGCAATTAAGTGGTGAAGACACTATCCAACCGCATGCTCAATGAATTTGCATAAAGGACCTGCAGTGGATGTAACCACAGGCAGAGGGGGGCTTCATTCACTGATTAGGGGCTCCCTAGAGAACCAGAAAGCAGTTGACTTTGAATATATCAGCTTGGAAGCATCTTCCTATAGTGTTTTTGTTCTTCAAGGTCTATAAAAATGTATGTCTTCCTTCTGGCAAGAAAGCAAGCACACAGCATGCATAGCCCACCCTATCTCCCTTCCCTCTGATGCACAGATTGGATCCAGGGACTTGCAGAACACCCCAAGACAAAATCAGAGGAAGTATCTGAAAATCAGCAAATGCGAAAGAGGCACCAAAGACGGTCCCTCGTGGCTTTTGAATGCTAAATCCTCATTTCCAAGGGTAGGGAGGGAGGGGTTCTCTTGCCCCATGAGATCCAGCCTGGGTTTGAGCTGGAGCACAGAGAATCTCACCATAGGACCAGTCTTCCAGTGAGGGGATTGGCAAGCTCCGGGGCCTTCCATGACGACAGCAGTTTTCCCCTACCCCTCCCTGCCACCAATGCATAGCCCCCTTGATATTTTCCAATGTGCTACCCACCGAAAGTCTCTCAGAGACCAGAAAATGCCCACCCAGCATTTCTCCCTACAGGACCCTTCACTGTGTATGCACACACAAACACGCCAAGTCCTTGCTACATCTGAAGGATTGCCAGAGTACCGCAGCCTGAATTAGACAAGTACACAAAGGTACACCAAAAAGGTGGGCAAATATGAAGAGTACGGTTCCCAGTTCCCACCGCACAGAAGAGTAGGGTTGCTTTGCAGGGCTCCTACCCTGGAAATGCTTGAGGAAGTTGTTTGACAAAACAGAGCCTAATAAACCCCAATACTGAACCAAACAGGCGGCGATTAAATCCCCATAACCATCTCCGCTTCTCATTCCAATGCAGGTGATAGAGAGGAATGCAGACCCAGAAGTGACACTGCTGACCTTCCTACGAAAGAACTGGATCCTTTTAACCAACGTCTTGGCCATGTCTAGGTTTGCCTTAACCCTGAAGCCAGCTGTCAGTGTGCCAACTAATCAAATCTCGACATCTAAATGGTCAGCCCTCTTGGCCCTCATGCTGTTTGCTTTTGGCCAGGGTTTTAAGGCTATCAGGTTAATTGGGCTACTTTGGAGAGGATGAAGTTTTCCCAGAGTTTCTTATATCCGATTTAATAGCATGAAATAGAAGCTAAGCACCTTAGTTCAGGACTAATTGTTCCCCTCTGGGCTTCCCAGGTACTTAGGTAACAGCAGCTGGTGTGGCACACACCCTGCCCTCCCACAACACCAGGTACTCCAGGTCAGGTGAGAGCATGTGTTGTAGGAGAAGACTTCCCGCCCCTACGTCTGATCTCTGAGATCTGATTTCCTCCACGATTCCATCCCCTGGAACTCAGATCTTCATCCGGGCAAACGTGTCTTCCTTGGCAAATCCGCTGGAGCACTCGGAGAACCCAGGAACAAAAAAAAAATGACAGAAATTAAAATTGATGAAGTTGGCCTCTGTACAGATTTCCTATGAAAGTCTACATGGCTTTTAATTAGTTGTCAATGTTTGAAAATTAGGAAATTGCATGTTTTTTAAAATGAGTATTTTCCAGCTTCTTTTGACAAATGAGAAGGCTGCCACCCCTGGCTGACAGTGGCCTTGCCGATTGCTGGGTAGGGACTGTCCCCAGTGCCCTCTTGAAAACGGGGCTGGAGCTCCCAAGTCACACCCAGGCCACCCAATTTATTTCATGACCTCTCTCAATGCATTTGAGGTTATGACTTAATGGAGATGAACAACTCCTAGGGTTAAAAAAAAAAAAGAAAACCAACAGACAATGGCAATAAAGAGTTAGTGATTCAGAAGTGTTTCTAGCAATCCAGGTAAATCCTATGCAGTCCCACAAATAGTGTGGAAATGCACCATAACCGGGGAGATGGCTGAGTAAAGAGAAGGCACTGCGGCTGAGCCTAAACTTGGAATGACGTGTTGACTAACTGAGGGATGCTCAAGGCGGAATCCGAAATAAGAATGAGATTCCTCTGAAGACTCGTGGGCTTGCTTTGAAATGCGGAATTGATTCCTGGGCAAACTGGTAACCCATGGAGTAGCTGAAAATAAAGTTCTTCTCCAGTCACATGGTTGAAGCCACAAGAAGACGTGGAAGAGTACCCTATAAGGAAATAGAATTTTTCAAAGAGTTTTTACACCCATGACCTTAGAAGATGCTTGTAATAAGCCTGTGAAGACTTATTGCAAGTCTTCGCAATGTCAGCATCACACAGCAGTAAAACATGGAGACGCAGGCAGATAACTGCCCAGGCCTGCGCCTGACCTTCCTCCCTAGCCACACCCTAGGGAGGCAGCTGCCCAGGGGGCAAAATATCTACCGTGAGATGTTTTCCTTGATGGCCCCGCTTCCAGTACGTCTCACAGGGACCAAGTATGCCTGCGGAACAGGAGGCTGTGGCGCCTGCACTGTGATGGTGTCGGAGCATGACCCCATATCCAAGAAGATAAGGTATCCCTCCCAGGAGCCCGAGGCAGGCTTTGTTTCTCTGCCTTGCTGTATGCTCAACTCACAGCTCAGAAAGATGTTTAGATCCTTGCTGTCTCCCAATATTGGATCCCTTTTGGAAAATCCCATATACTCGGATAATACACAAACGCATATTTTGCATATAACTGGAAGATCCTGAGCCTTCCAAGGCCCATCAGGGCACTCCAGGTCAGGAAACACCAACTTAGGCTGAAGATTCATCTTACAGATGAGGAAATGGGCTCCAAGAGATGCAGGAAGCTGCTGGAGGTCATGTAACCACCACTTGTTTTTGTTTGTTTTTAAAGATTTATTTATTTATTTATTTGAAAGAGTTACACAGAGCGAAGGGGAGGTAGAGAGAGAGAGAGAGAGAGAGAGAGAGAGAGAGGTCTTCCATCCACTGATTCACTCCCCAGTTGGCAGCAATGGCTGGAGCTGCACCAATCTGAAGCCAGGAGCCAGGAGCTTCTTCCAGTCTCCCACACAGGTGCAGGGGCCCAAGGACTTGGGCCATCTTCCACTGCTTTCCCAGGCCATAGCAGAGAGCTGGATTGGAAGTGGAACAGCCAGGACTTGAACCAGTGTCCATATGGGATGCCAGCACTGCAGGCAGCAGCTTTACCCACTACGTGCTGGCACCGTAACCAAGGCCTTGAGCTCACATTTTCTGGCTCTAAAACTAATGCTATCTCTCTACAGGTAGGCTAAGATCAACCCTGAAGAGCAAGGATATGGGCCATGCTTTTGCTTTTCAGTTAAGGGCAAGATTCTAGACCTTGGGCATCCCCCAAATGCAAGGCCCAGGAAATCAAGAGATGGCCTGAGGGACCAGTGCTGTGGTGCAGCAGTTAAGCCACTGCTTGCAACACTTGCATCCCAAATAAGCACCGATTAGAGTCTTGGCTGCTCCACTTCTAATCCAGCTCCCTACTAATGAGCCTGGAAGATGGACCAAGTGCTTGGACCCCTGCACCCATGTGGGAGACCCAGAAGTAGCTCCTAGCTTTATCCTGGCCCAGTCCCAGCCATTGCAGCCATTTTGGGAGTGAACCAGTGAATGGCAGATCTATCTTTCTCTCTCTCTCTCTCTTTCTCTTTCTCTCTCTCTCTCTCTCTCTCTCTCTCTCCCTCTTCCTTTCAAATAAACAAGTAAATCTTTTAAAAAAAAGAATGAGAGATGGCCTGGGAATATAGGTCATCTAATTGTTAACTTATATTCAGAGAGCTTAAAATCAAAAGCAAAAAATCCCCCTGAGCATATCCACAAGGATAAAACACACAAACATGCCTTTGCTTGTTACAAGGTCAGTATCCCAGCGAAGACTAGAAGTGCAACACACTCCCGGTTGTATGCGTCTATTCCCATTGCTCCCGGGTGAGTAGGCTTAGAAAGCTGTTCTGACCTTCAGAATGCCTATATGCACCTGAAGGAGTCCAGGCTTTGAAAGATAGCACAGAGTTCGTACAGACGACTCTGAGTTCCCCCTCCAGCTCCCCATCCCCCAGGCTGAATGACAGGCTTGGTTCCAGGTTTCCCCACAAGGCAAGGTGGTGTTACTCCCCTCAGCTTCCCTGGTGTTTCTCATACAAAGGCATGTCTCTGTCACCGCCTGCCTGGTGCCCATCTGCTCACTGTATGGAGCTGCTGTCACCACCGTGGAAGGTGTTGGAAGCATCAAAACCAGGCTTCACCCGGTGCAGGTAAGAGCACATCCTGCTTTTCTCATTTCTCTGTCTTTGTACCAAATGCTATGCAGACCGTGCCTTCTGAGGCTTCTAGGTTGTGGTCAGGTAAGAAGCAGCTTTGGCTGCATATTATTCAGAGTCACAATGTCTTTGAAGTAATTTGAAGAAAGCTGGAAAGCTATCTCCATTTTATTAGGTGACCATATGTTTTCTTTTTCTACTTGAACAATAAACAGAATTACTGATAATGGCTATTGGACTACTGTGGACTAGGGTCCACAGTAGACATTGTACAAAGGAAATTATATATGGAACAAAACATTTCCAAGGCCAAGAAGATAAAATGCAGGATTAGTTCCTGTGGCAGAGAGGTCTCGGGGAGTGAGTGGAATCTATAATGGATTTCTCCAGAGCGTGACAATTGTTTCTCCAAATCTTAGCCTGAAGTCATATGTGCATTGGCAGAGAACACATTGATTTTTCTGTCATTGTACAGGAGTTTTAAGAGCAGACCAACGCTGAGTCCTAGGCAGGGGAGGCCCAGGGGGTCCCTGGGCTTAACCCCAGGAGCATCAATTCCAGGGAGGAGTAACCAGTGTGAAGGATCCAGCAGTGTCTACCAGAAGTCAGAGGGAATGCTCACAGCAAGATCGAGAAACCTGAATACAGGATCTCATTACATTCTGAAATCTAGAACAGGGCTTCTCAAACTCTAATATGCTAACTAAGGAGCTCATTAAAAATACCGATCCTGAGTCAGGAAGTTTGGAGCAGGAGCCCCAGGTTCTGCACTCCCTACAAGCTCTTAGGTAAAACCAACACTGCTGGTCCATAGACTACACTTCGAACAGCAAGGAGTTTTAATTGAGGACACAGACCAAAATATTGGACTTGTGAATACAGAGCTGTCTTTGAGCCAACAAGGAATTTACAGAGAGTGAAATGAGAGCCTCCAGGTTAATAATAATGAAAAAGAGGAGGGAGCTTCATGGTCAGACTAAACTGTCAAGATGTGGAGGTATTCAGGAAAACTGGTATTTTTTTACTCTTTATTTACTTGAGAGACAGAAAAAGAGTCAGCAGGCAGACAGAGATAGTATGATCCCATTTGCTGTTTCACTCCCCAAATGTCCGCAATGGCTGGGGTTGGGTCAGGGTGGGAGGTCAGTCCAGACTGAAGTCAGGAGCCAGAAATGCAGTCCAGGTCTCCCAGATGGCTGGCAGGGACCCAAGTTCTTCAGCCATCACTGCTGTCTCCCAGAGCGTGCATTAGTGGGAAGCTGGGGTCAGGAGCCAGAATCGAACCCAGGTACTCTGACATGGGATGCAGGCACCTTAACTGGAGTCTAGGTCAAGCACCTACTTCAAAAAAGTTGTTTTTGAAACCTTGCACACATTCTTCTTATAATTATTGATTTCTGGAGAGCACTTCTTACTCTGGGAGTGGAGGCTGCACATTGCTAATTCCTAGTTAGAAGAGTTTGAGCACTTGACCTTGAGAAATGATTCTAATAATAGAATACGGCAGCCTGGGAAAACAGAGCATGGCCGACTCTGATCAAAGGGACAGGGTACGTTTGCTGAGAGAGGGAGATCTACCACGACAAGGGAGACACAAGCTGTGGTCCTCGATGAAAGTTGGTGGCAGCAGGAATGGAGGATCGTGACCATACATGTGTCCTTCCAGGAGAGGATTGCCAAGAGCCATGGCACCCAGTGCGGATTCTGCACCCCTGGGATGGTGATGTCCATGTACACGCTGCTCAGGAACCATCCACAGCCCTCAGAGGAGCAGCTCATGGAAGCCCTGGGAGGTAGGTCTGCCCCAAGGCCAGGTAGGAAGTGTGTTTCTGACTGCTCCTCTCCAGCCCCAGTGTCAGCCAAGCCCCACTCAGGCCCAGGTGTGAGCAGAGCTATGTTCGCTCTAGGGAGGACCTTTCTTTGCCCCTTCCTAGATTCTGGTGATTGGCAGGGGTCCTTTGTGTTTCCTAACTTGTGGATGTGTCGCTCTGATCTGTGCTTCTGTCTCCACATGGATATCCATATCCAAACCCTCTTCTTATTTTTTTTTAAGATTTATTGATTGATTTGAGAGGGAGAGACATAGAGAGACAGAGATCTCCAAATGGTCACAACGGCCAGGGCTGGGCCAGGCCAAAACCAGGAGTCTGGAACTCCATATGGGTCTCCCACTTGGGCCATCTTCCCCTGCTTTCCCAGGCACACTAGCAGGCTGCTGGATTGGAAGTGGAACAGCTGGGGCTCATACTGGTGCCCATATGGAATGCCAGCATTGCAGGAGATGGTTTAACCTGCTGTACCTCAACACCGACCACAAGTATTCCTCTTCTTATAAGGACACCAGGGTTAGGGCCTGTACCTTAACCCAGTATAATCTTGTCTTCACTTGACTATATCTGCAGAGATCCTATTTCCAAATAAGGTTGTGCCCACATGTTCACATACCTTTTTGGGAGGCAGAATTCAACTCAAAACAGAGCCCTTCACATATTGAAAGAACCCTTTAAGTTTTGCAATGGGTTTAAGTTACTAAAAGAGGACTTTGTAAACATATCCCTTTCGCAGAATCAAAATCATCATCTTCAAGTCATGTGACAGATACATAAGGTCTTAGACTGAGGCCTGAGCCTGTCACTTGGCCATCTGCTTGTGGCTTTCTCTCTCTTTCTCTCTCTCTCTCTCCTCCCCTGTTCCTGCTCTAGTACAGAAAAAAATCAGATTAAGCCATCTAAAATCTGCTGCTTCTTGGCTCTTTCTCTCATCCCTATAGCACCGCCAAGCCTGATCTCCCCCACCAGACACTCAGGGAAGTCCAATAGCTGGCCTCCCTGGCCCACCCTTCCTCCTCCTCTGTGTCATCCCCCAGGCCGGGCTCCTCTCAACCTCTGCTCAAACCTTGCACCTTGCAAGTGCTGCTCTGAGAACCCGGCACACCCCTCCCCTGCATCCCTACAATCCAGAGCTTGGCCGCTCTTCGGGTTGCAAGCTCTCCGGGAAGCCCTCCTGGATGAACTCTATGCCACACTGGCCCTCCTCCACCCCCACTTCATGCGTGATCCTTCATCGATGGAAACCGGAGGCTCTCGAACTGTACCGTGCAGCAGCGTGGCCCACGGACCCCCTCATGCAGGCTCCCGGGCCCGCCCCCAGACATTCTAATGCCAGAGAATTGGAGCAGGGGTGAAGGATTTGCATTTTTATAAACACTCCCAAGGGATTCGGATGGAGTGACCCGAGGAGAGCCACCGACAAACGTCCAGGGATGACACTTTGCTTGTCTGGGGCCTTGGAAATTGCTCTATTTTCTGATTTAGGACTCCCGCTGTTTTACATCAGGCTGGAGATAGAGCTGTTGGCGATAGCGACACATTGAGAGAATGAGTTAATAGATCAATGAAAGCGAGCTCTCAGCCAGACTGTCGTTTTCCTTGGGGTGGAGAACGAAGCCAGAACTGAGGTGGGGGAGGAGGCTAGTCCAAGTGGAGGGGAAAAGCATCAAACAGCTTGGCACGTACCAAAGGGTCTCTCAAGGAAAACGCTACTGGTAGAAACACAGCTCCTGATGACACGCCTCTCCTCGGATTAGGTAACCTGTGCCGCTGCACTGGGTATCGGCCCATTCTCGAGAGCGGGAAGACCTTCTGCGCGGTGAGTGGGTGACGGGGGGGGGGGGGGGGGTGGAGGTTAGGGGCGTCCTGCAGAGCTAGCGTCACAGGGGAAGCTGCAGTGTTAGGGGAGACCAGGTGAGTTAACTCACTGCAAGTGACCCATTAAACCACCTTTGATGCTGTCCAGCCAAAACCGCAGGAGACAGGTGATCTAACCAGATTTTCCACACCGAGTTCAGCCAGGCTTCTGGACAGGAAAGGTAACTGGCCTCGGGCAAACCCAAGGAGACAAGAAGAGGGAGTAGGGTTTGGCTTGCAGAGGCGAAGTGAGTCCCAAGAATCCAGCCGGGAAGGTGTGAGCAGATAAATAATTGGAATACACCACGCACTCTGTGAGAACATGCGGAGTTCCCTCCAGCGGGTGGGGCCGTCTGGCCCGTGCGCTGCCAAGTGATTTGCTCTGGCTCTGCCGAGGCGCTTGCGGGTGGGACTCGAAACTCAACAAATTTACAGCAGGCTAGAGTTGACCATCCTGTGTGGCCCACAAAGGATCCACATGGCCCTTGGCAGAAGACGATTTCCCCACCCTGGGGGCAACGTCACTGGGCTGCTGTGAAAAATTACACGAGTTTCGTGTGGCATTTAGTGAAAGTGCAGCCAACAGTGACCACTGCGATTGAGGTTGTTGTTGATTAGCATCTGACAAGGACACCAGGAGACAAGCATGTTTGATGGCAGAAGGATGGGGGCAATACAGACTTTACACCCGAGAGCAGGGGGCCCTGCCTGGTCCGCTATGGAGCCGTGGAGGCAAGGGCACTTGCTCACCTAGAGCCTTCACCCCTTTTCTAGATCATTCTCCACGTGTAATCTTCACCCCACTCCTAGGCCAGACACGTGCCCCTTTCCTGAGTCAAAGTGGAACAGTTTGGACACACAGTGCCTGCATTCCTGGCTCAGAGCGTGGCCTGCAAGCGGCTGCTTGTGGAGGGAGTGGCTGGGACAGTCAGGCCCGGTGCCCCTGCAGGTGTCGGAGGCCCCTCCTCCCAGCACGCAGGAGAGCTGAGAAGGGGAGAGAAGAGCCACAGGCCTCGGGTTGGGGGCCTGCCTTCATGTGCTTGCCTCAGCTCGCAAACCCAAGAGGTGGGCCTGGCAGTGAGCCAGCGAGTGTGTCCCATGTCCAGAGTCAGGTGTGTTCACTGAGCATGCGTGTCCCAGGCTTTTTTAGCTGGGAAGCCCAGCAAGCTGCCGGTGCGAGTGGAAAAGTGCTTGTGCAATGGAAATAAAGGGAACCTCCTTCCCTGCAGTTTCGAATGGAACCCACCTTTCCAGACACACAGACTGGGAGGACAAAGGCAGAAATGTGGGCCTGGGACTTCAGTGGGAGAAACCAAGCCCCGGGGCCGACTGAGTCCTCCATGTCCTGGGCCAAGAGCAAACTGGCTTCTCCCATCAGCCTTCAGTGGCAGCCATCAGGGAGGCTCCCAGAGCTCTGAGTCAGAGATAAGCCACTGTTTTGTTGGTTTTGCTTCTGGGACAGAATTAGGGAGAGGGCAACATGAGACAGACAGCAGACAAAGTTTTCGGCTAGATACGTGGGAGGCAGTGTTTGCGGAAGAAGACACAGAAGGCGGTTTGGAGGAAAGAGGCAGCTAAGGGACACGCGGAAGGAAAGCTGCTGTAAAATTCATTGTCAGCTCAGCCCCAGGCCAATCCCAAGGGTCTGGGAGATCCAGTTACCAAGATAATTTTTTTATTTTTTAATTTTTCTTTTTCTTTGCTGAAGCATTATATTTTAAAAACTTTTTTTCCTGAAGCTTTATATTAATGATAATATACAGCGTTATTGAATCTTACATAAGCTAAAGAGTAGGTAAAATGTCATTGCCCTGAGAAGCATGTTATCAATTAATTTTGTCAGTGGGAATTAACCTGAAAAATGTTGTGGATGGACAAAAACGCTCATGTGTACTATATGTGATATAAATGGTATATAGTGTTTTATAGCATATAAGCATAATTCCAAATACTTATTATGTCAAAATGTCATCATTGGGATAGGGTAATTTATTTCATTTACACTTCTCTATAGTCTATATTTCTGTATATCAAATGTACATACTTTATGGGTTTATTAGATATTCTATATATTCTATATGTATCATTTTTCTAAAACAAAAAAAAGAGTGTTCCAATAGTGACTGAAAATGTCTAATTTACATTGCCAAACCTTTTAGAACACAAACCCATTTACCTATAAAAGATGTTTTTAATCTAAGGCACTTTACCTTGTTAGGAGTCAAATGGCTGTCAACAGAACAGAACAGGAAAATGCTGCTTGGACCAGGGAGAAAATGGGTCCTCGTCCCCCGGCAGAAAGAATGTCGTGAGTCCCGTTGTTGGTTTTGTCCTCTCTCTGTGAGCGCTGCTCACGCTGGCTCGCTGTTGAAGCAGCGCTTGTTAGCTTGAAGGGTCATTCTCTGACCAGAGCGCAGGCACAAATAACAATGAGTCGATCTGCCCAATGGCCAGGGATCGGCCCCTGGGACTCGCCACTTGAGCTCTCTGAGCATGGAGCATGCGTGTGTGTGTGCGTGTGTGTGCACGTGCGTGTGTGTGTGTGTGTGTGTGTGTGTAAGTCTCGAGGTAACACCCACTTAGAGGAACTTTTCATTTATCTACTTTGCTATTGATGTTGGTTACTATTTTAATTCTCAGGCACAATCTTATTTCCAGACATCAGAGCTACCCCGCACTCTCACCCCCAGGGACTACAGTGTAAGCTTCCAAGTCTAACTAATGCCAAAATGGCTCACTCAGATGTTTATTTGCGGTGGCTCCATCTGTGGTCCTTCTAAGAACCGTCCTGAGGAACAACCAGCTTTCCTTCCAGAAACAGGGTCGGCCTCAGAGAGATGGAAGAGGGGCGGGTTGGACAAGGGTCAGGCCATTTCATCTAATGATTGCAGTGACCCTTCAAATCCATATTGCTTCCATGTCTCCCTTAGAACAGTGAAGGTTTCCACTGGAAAGGTCAGGGTCAAGCTGAGAATGACCCAAGTCTGTCCACCTCTGATATCCACACAGCCTCTTCTCCATGGACCCATCTCTACCCCCAGATCCCATGGCTCCTCCCCAGTTTTCCTTACTCCTAAGGGATGTTTTCTAGCACTAACTTTTCCCAAAGCTAATACAGATCTGTTTCAGACAGGATTACACTTTGGGTAACTTTTCATTGAACTTTAGTTCCTTCCAGTTATAGTGGACATAATTTGCTTTCTTTACACTGTTGTTGTGAAGATTGAATTGTTAATACATGTTGAAACACTTAGAAACTTAGCACTCAGTAAATGTTAATTATTAAGGTCAGACTGTGTGTATGTGTGTGAGTGTGCATGTGTGTGTGTATAGAGTCATTTGTATTTAAAATGCAGAACTTCTCAGAGCCTTTAGCCCTTGGAATCCTGACAGCACAGGAGAGGAGAATGGTTAGGGTACAGTGGAGATTTCCCAAACTTTCTATTTTAAGGTTTGTTTGCTTGTTTGTTTGTTTGAAAGGCAGAGCAACAGAGAGAGGGAGGGAGGGACAGGGGCAGAGAGAGAGAATGAGAGATCTTCCAGCTGCTGGTTCCCTCCCCAAGTAGCTGCCAACACCAGATTTGGGTCAACCTGAAGCCAGGAGCCAGGAACTCCGTCCAGGTCTCCCTCCTGGGTGACGGGAGCCCAAGTATTTGGACCATCTCTGCTGCCTTCCCAGGTGCATTGGTAGGAAGATGTATTAGAAATGGAGCTGCTGGGACTTGAACTTACCCACATGGCAAGTGTCAGCTCAACCTGCTATGCCACAACGCCAGCCTCCCCCAAACTTACTTAACCTCTGATAACTTTTAAAACAATGATTTTCCCAGAATGCTTTTGAGTATTTCATAGACTACTCCTTCCTTTAGAATCGATTAGTGTAAACTGGTATCTCTTACAACAGGATTCGTATTTTAAATTATTTGGTTTGAACAATTTCCCTGCACAAAAAAGAGACTTATTAGAGCATTCATCTTGCCTAATTCCTGTAAAGACCTGCAATGCTGTTTACAACTGAGCCGAGCTGACAGGGCCATCTGCTTCTTCCCTTTACAAAGCTTTGCACGGAGTTATTTTCGAAAGAGGAGTTCCAGCCTTTGGACCCTACCCAGGACCTTATATTCCCTCCAGAGCTCTTGGTAAGATGAATTGGGTATTTAAGTGCTTGCTTAAGTATCACTGCACATTAATTTAGCTTTATAAAACCCCCCATTTGCTCTCCCCCCATGAAATTGTGGACATGTTTGTACAGATCATGAAGGCTGCTTCCTCCCCAGCTCACCAAGTCCTGACCCACCCCTTGGACAGAGTTGGGCCTCGGCTGGGGCTGGTTTCTACAGGACTTCACATTGCTCTTCTCATTGTCACCTGGGTGTCCCTGTCTGCTGTCCAGGTGGCACAGCATTGTTAAGCTTCCCTCCAGCCTTTGGGGCCAATCCGGGGCATTGACCCTGTGGAGCACTCTTGGGCGCCTTCCCCACTCCCCTTCCTCGCCCTTCCTCCCGTCAGCATCTCCATCTTTGTTCTGGGGCATCCACAGTCCCATTGCACAAAATTTCCTTTCCTGAATGGGTTCTGAGGTGTTTGTTCCTTCATTCTGCAAATATTTATTCACTCAGCAACCTGCCAGTTCCATGCCACACACAGCATGGAACAAAACGGACTCAAAGATTTGCCCTCGAGCAGCTGCTAATCTTGTGAGAGAGATGGGCAATGAGCGATGTGACAGCTGAAGGATGCAATGTTAGCGAGAGGGAAAGGCTAAGGAAAAACGTGAAACAGAGAAGGAGAGTTGGGCATGGGCCATTGCCATTGGCAATATGCTGGCTGGAGAAGACCTCAGAGAAGGTGACATTTGGAGAGGATCTGGGAGGTAGTGAGGGAGGAGACATGAAGGTATGTGGGGACAGGCAACCCAACCGGCAGAAACAGTAAGCGCTAAGGTCCGAAGGGCAGGTGAACCCCTGGCCTGATTAAGGAAAAGAGTGGTGGCCACCCTGGCAGGTGCACAGGAGCAAGGGGAGGATCAGAAGCTGAGAGGAGCCAACCCTGCTCTGCTCAACACTGCTGGCCTTTCATTCCGTCTGGAACGAGAAGCTGTGAGGGGGGTTGGACAAAGGAGGGGTGTCTCCCTCGGGTTTCTGCTGCAGTGTTGAGAATGCTCTGCAGAGGCACCAGACAGGGGACATTGGCATCCTGAGATATGGCAGGGGGCGGGGCCAGGCTGCTGGGTTTGGGGGTGGGGTGGAGGTAGTGAGAAGCAAGGGTATTCTGGATACAACTTGGAAGATTGGATGTGAGAGCTCAATTTTGAACAAAGGTCAATGATAGATGTCAGCTTACATTGCCACTTGTCCCCCAAAAGCCATCCAAGTTATGGAAATTCAAGCATTAGCTGGTGGGTGCAGTGAGTGCCTTTGGGGGTGAGTGGCCCCCGGAACACCTGCAGTCTTCCAGAGGAACTGACCTCCCCAGTCCCGAGTAACCCAGGAGCACAGGCGTGCGCAGACGACATGTGCCTGTCATTTGCCTTCAGAGGATGGCAGAGAACCCAGAAAAACCAACCCTGACTTTTTATGGAGAGAGAGTGACTTGGATCTCCCCTGGGACCCTCAAGGAGCTCCTGGAGCTGAAAGTGAGGCACCCGGAAGCCCCTGTCGTCCTGGGCAGCACCTCGCTGGGTGAGTTGGTTACAAGGGCTCCCGTTCCACCAGCAACTCAGAGCTGGACTTCTTGTGCCGCACGCAGTTCTCAGTCTATGGAAGCTGCTTTTTAGGGATTGAAAACACCATCCTTTCTCACAAAGCCAGTCTCCAAGGCTGGGCGCACATATACCCTGGTAGGTAGGACGCAGCCTAACACCCTGAGTTGGGGTGGGCTGTACTAGAGAGCTTTATAAAATCACATTGTCCTTTTCTGTTCATGTTCAATATGGCATAGACATCATAGGATTGTGTAAGATATGCACAGATGTGCTAACACACTACACACTCAGGTAGCCCCCATCCCCTTTCAGAGCCCTCACGGGCCCTCCCAAGCTACATTTCCTGCCTTTCCCTTCCCTCTTGAAGGTACTCATTAGCCTGAATTTGCCTTGGCTACTCTCTCCCTTGTTTTTATAATTCCGCCACACATACCGGAGTCCCTACACAGTCTTACTAATTTCGGGAGTGTTTGAACTTCACGAAGGCAGACTGAGCTGCATTCTTGCCCTGTAGTTTGCCTCCCTCATTCACCCGTGTTGCTGCGTGTGGCTGGGCCGTACTCCACCGTGCGAACAGGGAACCATGCGCCCATTCAGTTTGCTCTGAAGGGACAACTTGTTGAAACAGCTCCAGCTGTTGTCAAGTTTGGGCTATTACAAATGTGTGTCTATGTTTCTCCTGGTGCCTATCAGTGTGTGCTATAAGAATGCCTCATCCTTTTTATGTCCCATTTTTTTGTGTAAATGCAGTGAGTGTGTAGCTAAGTGTGTCTATTGGGAGAGCACGCTCAGTACACTTACGTGGCTGGGATGTAAGCCCACCGCTTTCTCATCTGGACGCTTGTATTGTCAGGCATTCAAGTCTGCATCTGAGTATTTTTAGGAGAAAATTTCAACACACAGCAAAGACGTTTTCTCTTTCCTAACTACCCCCAAAATATATGTTCTCTCCAGGACCTGCAATGAAATCTCAAGGACATTTTTACCCGATTCTCCTCTCTGCTGCTAGGATCTCTGAGCTGCGGATGGTAACAAAAACAAGTGATGGTGAGTTCCTGATGTTTCTTATTCATTTCTTTTAAGACTTATTTATTTGAAAGGCAGGGTTACAGGGAGAGGGAGAGACAGGTCTTCCATCCACTGGTTCACTCCCCAGTGGCCAGGTCTCCCACATGGGTGCAGACTCCCATGCACTTGGGCCGTCCTCCACTGCTTTCCCAGGCACATTAGCAGGGAGCTGGATCAGAAGTGGAGCAGCCGGGACTCAAATCGTTGCTCATATGGGATGCTGGTGCTGCAGGCAGTGGCTTAACCCACCATGCCACAGTGCCAGCCCCGTGATGTTTCTATAAGATGCCAATGAAGCATTCTGTGCACCAAGCTTCCACTTGGCAAGCCATTCAGAACCCCCTCATCCATGTGTCTCATCTGGCCTATTTCTGGCTCTTTGCCATTTTTCTCTACATCCCCATCATGAAACTTTACTGGCAAAATCTTTTCAGGGAATCTGAGGCTCTGGACCATATTGTTCAAGACCTTACAGGACTCTTGTTGGTAGAATGCCACATGACCCAGTGACGATAAATTTGCAGTGTCACTCTTATGGCAAGATGAGGGAGGTCAGGCACTGTCCATCCATTGGACAGGCAATTCCAAGGAAGAGGAGATGTTTGCAGGGGGAAAGTAGGAGAAATACTATCTGGCACTCACATGCCAGGGACAATGCCAGGAGCCAAAGTGGGACAAAGACTCCTAGTCACTGACCACACCCCAGAAGCCCCCTGTGCAAGATACCACATTAGGCAAGGCACAACTCACAAAGTAGGAAGAAAACACACCGAACTTCACATTCAAGATGCATTCCCTCTCCATCAGCTAGAGCTACTAGTATTTGCATGCTCAGAAGGGCTCAGTCAGTGGCTGATTAAAAAATCAAAATGGAAAAAAATGAATGAGTGGGTCAAGACCTTGAATGTAATGGATGTAATGATAATGATCACTTTCTTAACTCAAGCAACAGGGGGTTGACTGGACTGAGAGATTTAGTCAAGATCAATGTATAGGGTCCATGTGTTGGGCGGGGGTCAGTAGATGGGGAGGAAGGGGACCTGCCCTGGCCACGGTCATCCTAGAATCCTGCCTTCCTAGCTAGCCTCCAGCCATCCTGTCAAGCTTAGCTTGAGCTGTGTGTCCGCAAGCCTGCGCTTCCCTGGCCTGGTCCCACCTGTTTGCTAGCAACAGAAGCCCTTCTTGGGTTCTGTGCAGTGTCATGGTTGCACAGCTTCAATTTTGAGACCATTCAGGGAGCGTACCGAATGCCATTTGGAAAAATGGAGGTGTGCACTTAGATTTAGCTGGAAGCATGGTGTTCGCAGAAGGCAGAGGAGTGGAAGAGGGCACGGTGGGAGATGTGGAATGGGAACACAGACAAGCAGTGTGGGCAGACGGTTAAGGCAGGAGGCCATGACCCCACTCTTCCCCCCAGGAATCATGCAGTCCTCCTCTTTCAAGGCTCTCTTTAGCGCCACAACCCCTTTCTCAAGCAAGTCTTAAGTATACTAAGTAAATGAAAATGGTTGCTCCATCTGTAGGTAGGGGAAGGCTTTTCCCCCTGCCTCCCCTGTCCTCAGGAGGGCCCTGCAGAGTAAAATTCAAACTCCTGAAGTAACCCAGGCCTTCCTTATAGATGAAGAAACTGAGATGCAAAAAATGGAAGCAGATTCACCCCAGCTCCCCAGTCTGGCCGGTGGTCAGCTGCAGCACGCCCCGCCCCCAAGTCCAAAGCTGGCAGCCACTGCCTGCTCCCTTTTCCACCCTGCCCAGCCCAGAGGCCAGTCCCACTGGCTGTCTGCACCCACTGCTGGGTTAGCTTCTGCAGCTGAAACGAAGCCAGATCCAGAAATCTGAGTAAGCAAACAATGCACCATCCTCCAGGCCTCTTAAAATTAAAGCATGAGTGCCCTCTAGTGGCTCCTGGAGAAGTCGCTTTGCCTCTCACAGTTTTCCCAAGGCCCAGGAGAGTGAAGGACACTGCGGAGAGGGGCAGGCCGGGAGGAATGTGGTAGAGCCATCCTGGCCACCCTGCACCCCCAGCAGCTGCCCCAGGAAATAAACTCCTGGAAGAGCTTTAATCTTTAATCAAATGCATATCTAAATTTTCCATGTTCGTCCATATCACCTACACATTTGGCTCAGTATACTTGTTTTTTTTTTTTTTTTCCTCAAAATCTTCAGTAAGCACTCCAGAAAGTCACTGTATAACAGTCCATAGGCCCAGGAACTCCAAAAAGCATGGGGTAAAAATGAAATCCCCTTTCTGAAACTCATACTTGAAGCCATTTCTAATGCCACTGAAATGTAAACTAAGTTTTGTGCTGAAGGATGGAATAAAATATGAATAGAGTATACTTGATCTAGCAGGTGAGATGCCCTCATCCCAAATGACAATGCCTGGGTTCAATTCCCAGCCTCAGCTCCTGACCCAGCACCTGCTAATGCAGACCCTGGAAGGCAGCAGTTGTGGCATAGGTCATTAGGTTCCGGCAACTCTTGTGGGAGACCTGGATTGAATTCCTGGCTCCCGGCTTTGGCCCCAGCCAAGTCCTAAACATCACAGGCACTGAGGAGCTCTCTCTGTCTTTCTCTACCTCTCCAATAAATAATAATCCAGTATAACCCACCACAAAGTGATATGATTTTTTTTTTTTTTTTGACAGGCAGAGTGGACAGTGAGAGAGAGAGACAGAGAGAAAGGTCTTCCTTTTGCCGTTGGTTCACCTTCCAATGGCTGCCACGGCTGGCACACCGCGCTGATCCGATGGCAGGAGTCAGGTACTTATCCTGGTCTCCCATGGGGTGCAGGGCCCAAGGACTTGGGCCATCCTCCACTGCACTGCCTGGCCACAGCAGAGAGCTGGCCTGGAAGAGGGGCAACCGGGACAGAATCCGAAAGTGAAATGATATTATGAGCAATGGAAATTGCCAAGTGATAGCCTCACAATGGATCCATGTGGCCTCAGCCCAATTTGAAAGCTTAGGAGAACCCAGACAATAGAGTAGACAGTTGGCATTTCACTCTCGACTGGGACTTACTTGCTCTTTCCTATTTATGCCAAATCAGAGCCAGTTGTGCTGGTCTGTGTGATGCTTCTGACCTTAATAATAAAACTAAGTCTGTTTCTGAATAAGGCTCTGAATCTAATTAAGTGAAAGACAAGCTTAGCTTTCCTAGCACTTCTACAAAGACAAAACCAGAATTTTTGCAGAAGTTAAAGACCAGGCTCCAGTAGAACATGGGAGGGGGAAGCAACAGACCTCGGCTGGCAGGCCCAGGGCGGAAGCAGAGCCCACGTTACAGTGCGCTTTTTATAGATGTTGAGTCAGGGACAGGGTGAGCACTCCAGGCTAAGACATCTAGGGAGGGGGGACAGCTCAGTTCCTGTTAGACAAGGCTTGCTTAACATGCAGATAATAGGAGCAGCCAGTGGTTTTCCTAATCAATTAAGTTAGATGCAATGAGGGAAGCCGTAGGGGTGTTGTGTATGTTGGCAAGGGTAGGGAAGGTATTGTGCCAAGTCCCTTTTTAATATTGATAAAACACAGCCATGTGGAGGGTGAAATATTCTCAAAGATTAATCAACAAGAGAAAAGGCAAAGCCCAACTGGAACCGTGCTAAAAACAGACCAACTACACTTAGACCCCTGCCCTGCAAGTGATGTCAACTCAAACCCTACAGGTTAGAGTATTGTTCTGCAAACCCCAAGGAACTCTGGGTGCTGATTTTTAAAGGTGCCTGAGTCATCAGTGAGTACTGCAATTTGAAGACTGATTAGAACTCTTTCATCCTACACTGAAGTTCCTGTTATTATCCTGCCAATCCTCCAAAGTATGGATGCAGCTGTTGCCAATGGTTTGAATTATTTCCTGGCCAGTTAGCAAATAGTCTTGCTCTACCCCCTGGATGCTGTCTCACTGCCTCCCGGGTCCCTCCCTGGAAACCCCAAACTCTGTAAACTCAATAATGCCCAACATAATGCCTGACACAACTCCTTGTATTGGGCTCTGTCTTTTCTGACCAGCTGTTGTTCCTCGCAGGACTAATTATTGAAGACTTTTGAGTACCAAGTACAAAACCTGCCGTCAAAGCATTTTGTCTAGACAGTGGCCTGAAGATCTGAATGAACTTTGCCTTTATTCAGTATTAAATGATTTATTTGTTTGTTTTTATTTGAAAAGCAGGAAGGAACAAAGATTTTCCATCCACTGATTCACTCCCCAAATGTCCACAGTAGCCTGAGCTGGGTCAGGGCAATGCCAGGAGCCAGGAACTCAATCCAGGTTTCCCATATGGGTGGCAGGGATCCAAGGACTTGAGCCATCACCTGCTACCTCCCAGGGTGTGCATCATCCAGAAGCTGGATCAGTAGCTAAGAAGCCAGGACTCAAGCCCAGACACTCTGATATGGAATGTGGGCATCTTAAACACTGCGCCAAATGTCCACCCAGATCTTTGTCATTATCTCAATGCTATCAGATTTATCCCCTTTAACCACAAAGCAACTTCTCACAGCTTCACCACCATCAGACAAGAAGGGATCTTAGAAAGTTCTGGTAGGTTCTACCACCAGAGCGTTGTTACTGTCATTCATTCTTGCTAGCCTCCATTTGTCCAAAGAAGAATGTGGACTAGCTCAGAAATTCCCAAATCCTGCGATACACACAGGAAAACACACCACCTAGGGAGCCTTTTAAAAAGTCCTCTGCCCGGGGATGCTGGTCTGGTTGATCTGGGAGTTTTGAGCTCCCTGTGATTCTCTCTGCAGCCAGCAAGACAAAGTCCTACACAGGCTGAACACCAAGGCCCCGGTGCCATGGTTATGGTTCAACTGTTTCTCCACCCCCACCCCCAGCACCACCACCACCACTCAAAGACTACTTTCTTGCCAGGTCTAACGATTGGGGCTGGCTGCAGCCTGGCGCAGGTGAAGGACATCTTGGTTGAGAGGATATCTGAGCTCCCGGAGGAGAAAACCCAGACCTACCGAGCCCTCGTAAGGCACCTGCAGTCTCTGGCGGGCCAGCAGATCCGGAATCTGGCGGTAGGCCCCTGCTTTCAACCACCGCACACACCCAGTGCCTCCTGATCTCGCTGAAATGGTGAACTAGCCATGGGTAGAATCTGGACAATTGATGCAAAAGGCACAGTAAATAAATACTTGAAACTAGTGAACACCTTCATAAAGTATTTAAAAGAGAACCCAAAATCGAGTTCCTTAGAGCAGTTTCATAGAGAAGAACGTCATGGTTGTGCGGATCTTGGGGGAAAAGTGTGTCCAGCTTGATTCTCAGACTGCACTGGCAAAAGTATAGAATCTACAACGGGGAAGGTAGCCTGCTCTTCTCTGGATGGTTCAAACCACTGGAGGAAAGGATAAGGAGAAAAGAAAAAGAGACATTGCTTGGTTTCCAAAACATGTATGTTCCCTCTCCTGTGTACCCCAAATGGTATTTTAGAAATTCCTGGGACACGAGGAATCTGGGAGGACAGGTCTCCTTTGAAAAAGCTGTCAAGTCCAACGTGTTCTGTGCCCCGTCTGGGGCTAGGCCTGGACACGCCGGAGCCTGGCCAGGAGGTGGTGGCTGGAGGGTGAGGGTTGGAGACCACATCTGAAAGAGGAACGGCTGCATGACGACAGCCAAAGGGAACACAAGAGCTGCCACCGAATATCTATACACTCAGGAGGGACAGGTGCCACCACACGGGATCACACAGGATAGTCCCAGGGTGACCCATGGGTGAGCCTGCGAGGGGAAGCAATTTCAGCTCAGGGAAAACAAGGGAACTTCAAAACTGAGCTGCTGATAGAAGAAGGATTCCCTGTTCCTGGCTGTGTTCCAGCCCAGACCACAGCAGCACATGGGCAGTCACTGGACATTCCGTCACTCGTGGGTAGCAGGGTACTGAGATGAGGGGCTGGCTGTCTCCTTCCCAGTTCTGGGATGCTACAGGCTCAATCGGATCCAGGAGAAGTAGGCCAGGAAGTCGAGGGGCAATCTTCCACCAATGGTGTGGATGCCCCTGAACCCTGGCCCTTGCAGAGCCCGCGGGAGATGAGGCTGAGATTCTGTGGGCCCACGGCAGCATGGCCATCTCTGGGGCCATCTGCACTGTGGCCACGTCCGAGCTGGGTAGCGGGGAGAGCAGAACTGGCTGCGGAGCCTCGCTGCTTGGGCTCGTACCCAGGCCTGTTACCGCTTAGCTGGGAGACCACAGTCAAGTATCATCATTTCTCTCCACCTGAGTGTCCGCACCTATAAAAATCTGGAGGAGAAATGGAAATAAAAGATAAGGCCAGGGGCTGGCGCTGTGGCGCAGTGGGTTAATGCCCTGGCCTGAAGCGCCAGCATCCCATATGGGTGCTGGTTCTAGTCCCAGCAGCTCCTCTTCCCATCCAGCTCTCTACTATGGCCTGGGCAAGCAGTAGAAGATGGCCAGTGCTTGGGCCCCTGCACCCAAGTGGGCGACCCGGAGGAAGCTCCTGGCTCCTGGCTTCAGATTGGCGTAGCTCCAGCCATTGCAGCCATCTGGGGAGTGAACCAGAGGATGGAAGACCTCTCTCTCTGCCTTTCCTCTCTCTGTGTAACTCTGACTTTCAAATAAACAAATAAAAATCTTAAAAAAAAAAAAAAAAAAGATAAGCCCATTTTGGTGAGGGGGAAAAATGAAATCCACGCATAGTTTTTTCATAATACACATTTCCCATGAACTTTTTTTTTTTAACAGGTAGAGTGGACAGTGAGAGAGAGAGACAGAGAGAAAGGTCTTCCTTTGCTGTTGGTTCACCCTCCAATGGCCGCCGTGGCCAGCGCGCTGCGGCCAGCTCACCGCGCTGATCCGAAGGCAGGAGCCAGGTACTTATCCTGGTCTCCCATGGGGTGCAGGGCCCAAGCACTTGGGCCATCCTCCACCCATGAACTTTTTAAAGATACTTCATATGCATAAATTTAAAAATTTTTATACCAAATAAACATCTCTTTTTTTAAACTTATTTATCTGAAAGAGAGAGAAAGGGAGAGGTCTTCCATCTGCTGGTTCATTTCCCAAATACCCCAAGAGCTGGGGCTGAGCCAGGCTGAATCCAGGAGTCAAGAACTCCGTCCAGGTCTCCCACTGGGTGGCAGGGAACCAACTGCACTTGAGCCACCACCACTGCCTCCCAGGATCTACATTAGCAGGAAGCTAGAGTCAGGAGCCAGAGTCAGTAATTGAACCCAGAAGCTCCAACGAGGGACTTTAACTACCTGGTTAAATGCCCACCCCTCGCTGAGTGGTGTGTGTGTGTGTGTGTGTGTGTGAGTGTGTGTTTGCGAGGCAGAGTTACAGACAGAGAGGAGAGAGAGAGACAGAGAAAGGTCCTCCCTCCATTGGTTCACTCCCCAAATGCCCAAATGGCCGAAATGGCCGGAGCTGTGTCAATCTGAAGCCAGGAGCCAGGTGCTTCCTCCCAGTCTCCCATGAGGGTGCAGGGACCCAAGTACTTGGGCCATCTACTGCTATCCCAGGCCACAGCAGAGCCAGACCGGAAGAGGAACAACTGGGACTAGAACCGGTGCCCATATGGGATGCCAGCGCAGCAAGTGGAGGATTAACCCAGTGTGCCATGACGCCAGCCCCTTGCTGAGTGTTTTTATAATGAATTTGTATTGAATTTCATCAAGTGCTTTTTTTTGTATTTATGGAGAAAATAATTTTCTCCCTCTTTGTTCTGTTCAGTGACTTCTATTGATTTTCTAATGTAAAACTAACTTGGCACTCCTAAAGAAATTCCACTGGATCATATCTTACATATCTCTATATATTGCAGCTCCAAACACCACCCCCTCCTTATCTTTTCATTCCATTTTTCCAGAAACTTTTTCCACAGCATCAAATGTATCAGGAGGTTAGATAGCAGGCAGACGTACCAAATGCTGGGGAGTCTCAGCCGCCGGCAATGCCTCCTCTGTTCCAAAGGACCCAGCAGGGCCCCCTCGGACACTGAACGGAATCCCCTCTGTGAAGGGGGAAAGGACTAAAGTGGCCCAGAGTCCTCCAGACCCTTTCACAGCCACCGGGAGGACCAAAAGCAGGTGCCTGCGGGGTGGAGGAGTTGCGACAGTGACCGAGCTGTGACCCTCTCTCTTCAGTCCCTAGGAGGACATGTTATAAGCCGCCACTGCTACTCAGACCTGAATCCGATTCTTGCTGTGGGCAATGTGACTCTGAATCTGATATCTGAAGGTAAGCCACCCTGGGCCACTCTGGACTGCACCTAAAAGTCTCTGGTCTCTTTTTAGAGTTTAAGGAATTGCTCTACATCAGAAGCCAGGTCCCTGGTACTTGGTTCACCAAGGGGAGTCCAGGCACATTGCTGCAAGGGGTGGCTGGCGATTCCTTCTGACACCACACACAGGTGCCAGTGCACACACACACAGCTCACTCACACGTGTTAGCCCACATGTCTGTGCTTGGCCAGGGAACACGGGGTGGTGTACGGAGGCTGAGATGAGCACGAGCTTGCAGCGAGCACCCCCTCTGCGGCCTGAGGGACAGCCCACTGCCTCCTCCTCCTCTTCATGGACCTTTCTCCACCAACAGGGGCTGAGACCTCTGCCACACACCCTCTAAGTGCCCCTTTTCCCTCCCGTTGCCATGTCTGATGAGGACACATAGCTGACATTGTGGGTTCCAGGGGGCACGGATGGTCAATGGCTGGCTGAAGGGAGCAGTCAGAGGCAGCTCCCTGGTAAACCTCCCTTCCTTCCAGTGCACCCACGGTGCCTTCAACTGCTCTGCAGGTGTTAATGCCCTTGCAGCCCGGGGCTAACCACGTGCCGGGCTGTGCTGGCCACCTCACACATCTCAGATCCACTCAACCCCCAAGTAAGGTAGCTCATCAGGGGAGGGCTTCACCTTAGTTCATTAGAGTTGCTATAACAAAATCCCTGAGAATGGGTACTTTATAAAGAAGAAAAATGTATTTCTTGGGAGGTTGAAAACTTCAAGGTTAATGTACCAACACTTAGTGTCTGGGGAGGGCTTCTGGCTCCATTATCCCATGGTAGAAGGTAGGAGGGCAAGAGAGCCCTTTTATAATGGCACCCTCAAGGCATATGCACTTCCTGCAGGTCCCACCCTTTAAATACTGTTACAGTGGCATTGAATTCAACACAGGTTTTGGAAGAGATAAACACTCCAGCCATGGCAGGTGTGAACCCCAGTCTGCCTGACTTCCCGACCAGAGTACTTACCTCTTCTCCCTGGGCCTCCAGCCCTAAAATGTCCCTTCTGTTTCTCTCCATCCCTCACTTACAACCCATCCAATACCTCCTTTCCTACTCACTGTGGGTGGCCGCCAGCTCCTGTGGACTGAAGCGCCCCAGGCTTGCAGGGAGCAGGGTAGCAATCGCAGCCTTGGCCCCTGTGGATTTCCAAGGTGCAGCCAAGCAGGAATGGGCGCTGGACCCACCCCGAGATATCTGTGGACCACACTGTGCACTCCTTCAGTGCAGGGAATTCAGACTCTCGTGGCCCAGGAAAGGCGTCCACCCCCGCGGCTCTCAGCCTCTCCCTCCTGACGGAGCCAAGCTTTTTGCTGAGTCAGGCTTATGGGCTGGGACAGCCCCAGTGTGTACCCCCAAGGACTACAACAGGAGCAGCTGGGACCGAGGCACCAGGATGGTGAGGGCAGCTCCCCTGAGCACCCCTCATCCAAAAATCCAAACCCCAAATCCGCCATTGTTGAGCACTCACACGATGCCACAGTGGAAAGTTCTACAGGCGCACGAAAAATCCCCTTCAGGCTCTGTGCATCACATGCATATGAGACAGAAATGCATTCTGGGTTAGACTTGGTCCTATCCCCCAAGATATCTCATTATGTATATGCAGATATTGAAAAATCCAGAAAAGACCCTGAAACGTGAAACAGTTCTGGGCCCAAGCGTATAGAAGGAGGCACGCTCACCCAGCAGTAGCGGTGGCAGTGACAGCAGAGCTGTTGCGATGTCCTGGGGTCTTGGCCGTTACCTTCTGCTTATGGGCTCTGCCTTCCCAGCTCAGCCGAAGAGCACATCCCCCACCCCGGCACGAAGCAGCACGCAGCTCGCCTGCGCCTGCGCAGCAGCAGGGCACGCGGCCAGGCAAAGATCAGCACGGGCTCCTTTGGGGCAGCCCTGCCTCCCCCACTGCTCCACTCATGGTCCAGCCAGCTCGGCATTGATGGCGCCAGGGGTCTCACGTCAGAGGCCCAGGGCCATCGTGTGATCGCCGCGTGGTGCCCCCTGGGGGGTCCACGTGGCTTTTGAAAGCCAGCTCTGATCCCTAGGAGTTGACAGCTGGGCTGGGAGGAGCGTGAAGCGAGCGTGAATAGTTCAGTTTGTTATAAAAGTACAAAGTACCTCTCGCAGGAGCTGACGGTGGCAAGAACCTAATGCCCAGCTGATGACGAGGGCTCTGCGAGGTGTGGAAACAGAGCCCGGGTTAGCTTCAGCCGTGCCCGATGCCTCGATGGTCAGTGCTGGGCGCGTTCTGTGAGTGCGTAGGGAGCCAGCCTGGGTTGCAAGAGGAAAGCCCCCCTCCCCCCAACCCGGGGAAGGTTCGCAGAGCGCCTGAGCCGATAAGAGAAGGCCAAGCATCAGGAGCAGCTGCCCCTTCCTGTGGCGGGAACGGGACCCCCGCGGCTGTGTCACAGCCCAGGCCCCTGCAGAGGAAGCTGATCCTTTCTTCTCCGCGGCGTCCTCTCGCGGTGGCCGTGGGGACCGTGCCGAGATGCCGGGATGCCATTTTCTCCCGCAGATGGAGCGCGGCGCACTCCCCTGGATGAACATTTCCTGGCTGGCTTGGCGAGCGCGGACCCCAAGCCGCAGGAAATCTTGGAGTCCGTGTACATCCCTCACTCGCAAAAGGTAACAATTCCACGGGCTCCTTCTCAGGGTCATTTTTCCCTTTGTATAACTGAGCCCAGCCCATCGTTAGAAATCTGAAAACACGTGGCAGGATGACAACTCTGCCCTGAAAACCCGTTTCCTGTCCCACTGAGGACTGGCCCAGCACCGAGGCCCTGTGCCAGCTGCGAGCAGGCTTCGCCCGGGTGTGGATTTGCGGGGGGTTGTTGTTGTGGGGTGCGGCCTGCAGAGGGCCTGTGCTCATGCTTCCACACCCGCTCAGGTCCACGGGTTCAAGCCCTGGCTGTGGGGTGGGGCTTCTCACTGCACCCACAGAGGGATGGGGTCTAGGGCTTGGCCCTCCACCCTCCACGCCAGCCAGCCCAGTGGCATTTGGGAGCATGAAGGCTTCCAGTTGTCAGCATCTGTGTGACCATGCAGCTGGCTACAGAGGTGGCCTCTGGTCTCAACCCCAGCTCCCTGTGCCTCTCCACAAAGCTGCAGCTGAAACCCAAAGGACAGTGTTTGCAAAGAAAGGCATTACAGGACACACCACACACACACACACACACAGAGAGAGAGAGAGAGAGAGAGAGACTCACAGCAATCAAAAGCCAGCAAGTCTTAGGTTAGTTAGACTTTAGTTAGTTAGCTTTCAGCTCTGGGTGACCTGTGTTGGTGTTTCCTTTGGAATGGAAACTTGGGAATGTGCTGCCATTCAGGCGCACGTGTGTGGCCAGGCAGCAGACACGAAATGAGGCAGATGCAAGCAGGAAGCCCCTTGGGACAGTGCAGATGGGTGTGCCCCTGGCCAAGGGTCATCCTCATTGCTCTGACCTCGGCCCGCCAGGTCCTGGCACCAAGGGGGCAGCTGAGGGCAGCTTGTGCCTCTTACTCCCAGCACCAGACTCCCTGGCCCCTGACTAGAAAGTTCTCTTGGCTCCCTATGAGCTTTGCCAAAAGGGAGAGTGCTCATTTCTACAAACCAAGAAATGTGCTAGGCCTCCTCAGCCTGGAAGCAAAGCACCTTTAAAAGCCCCTGTGTTAGGAGGGTTCCTCCTCCCCCACAGCAGACAAGGGCCACTGGAGACTGGAGGGAGTGACACGCGGGGGTGTTTCTGGGTGGGTGTGTTTCCTGGCCTCAGAGCAAAAGCGAATGGGATCTGAGTTCCTTGAGGGTGTCCAGGGCCCTGGGAACAGGCCGGGGAAGGATGTCATGCTCACGTTGAACAGGAGGCAGCCAAGTGTCCTCTCCTTGTGCCAGCTGTCCTCATGCATGTCCCCTTAGATTGCATCTCAGTGATTAATCAGAGACACCAAGAGGCAGAACCCATGCCCTTGGCGTTAATAACCCCAGATGGTTTCTGTCTTCACAGTGGGAATTCGTGTCAGCCTTCCGACAGGCTCAGTGCCAGCAGAACGCCCTGCCCGACGTAACTGCCAGCATGCGTGTGCTTTTCAGAGAAGGCACAGACACCGTAGAGGACCTGAGCATTGCCTATGGAGGCGTGGGGGCCGCCCCCATCATCGCGCGAAAATCCTGCCAACAGCTCCTGGGGAGGTGAGCCACAGGGCCTGCATCCTGGGAAAGAAACTTGACCTGGAGACAAACAACTGGGAATCTGGCTCTGGCAAGAGCTGAGCACGGCCTGGGAAGATGGGAACTCCTACAGACAAAATCACTGTTGGTTCTCCCTGTAATTTTGCTGAATGAATTAAATCTGAATTGATTTCAACTCATTAGGTGCCTCTCTTGGAGTGGGGGAGCCCACAAAAAAGGCCCAGCCCGACAGCAGTCCAGATGTGGTTTCTTCCCCTCCAGCCTTTATTTTCTTGGGCAGATCCACACTCCAGCAAGCCCACACGGGGCAGCACCCCAGGCTCTCACTGTGGGAGTGCACCCATTCCTTCCTCAGTATTCCAGTCTGAGTCTCGTTCAGTTCATAGTGAGATTGGCCCCTGTGGTGTGTCTCTGATACCTGGTTCTAGCATGTTCTGGCTCCAGATGTGCACGGCCTATGCTACAGTGAAACAAGTGCTGTTCTCTTCCTGCTATGACCATTAGCCCCTCAATGCAGTCTCTCCAGGCCTTGGTTTTCTTGAGAAGCCTGATTAGCTGATTCTGCACTCTGTCCCACCGAACAAAGGGAACTCGGAGGTCTCTGAAACATCGCTGTCCAGTATCCACCCTCTGCTGTGCAATGGACTCTGGCTCTAACTGATCCTCTCGGCTCCAACCCTCTTAGGCGCTGGAATGAGCTGATGCTGGATGAGGCTTGCAGGCTGCTTCTGGAGGAAGTCCGCCTCATGGGCTCGGCTCCAGGTGGCCGGGTAGAATTCAAGAGGACCCTGGTGGTCAGCTTCTTCTTCAAATTCTACCTGGAGGTTTTGCAGGAGCTGAAGAAGCTGGCAAAGCTGTGCTCTGTGCTTGTAAGTGCCCTCATGAATGAGCTGGCTAGGGCTGCCATGACAAAGAACCACAGAAATGCAGCATCTCCTGACGCTGGAGGCCGAAATCCACAGGGTCAGTGCGTCCACAGGGTCCACAGGGTCGGTGTCCACAGGGTGTGTGCCTTCTGTGGGTCGGTGCCTTTGGAGGGCTCCTAGGGAGACTGTCCCGTGCCTCTCACCTAGCTTCTCAGGGTTGCTGGCAAACTCAAGTGTTTCTTAGCTTGCAGAAGCATCATGCTGATCTCTGCTATCTCGTGATATATGTGATATATCAATGGTATAGCCACGTTGCCCTTTCTAGTAAGAACACCGGTTATATTGGATAACAGCCCATCCTAATGACTTCATTTTAACTTGAGTGCCACTTTAGTAGAGCCCCTACCTTATTTGCATGAGGTCACGTTCCAAGGCACTGGGAGGTAGGACATCAAGGTCTACATTGGGGAGGGACATCAGGGCAGCCCATTTGGCTTTAATGTTCTTGTAGCCATGAGCCCACAGCTGTCTGGTAACTTCTGCAAACTGTGGGCATTGTGTGCCATGGCTTGTCTCCTGCTTTGGATCAGGCCTTGTCACTTCCTCCCAGGATTGAGCCACAAGGGGTCCATGAGGCCTTCAGCCCCTTAATGTCTACTGCATGCCCTGAGTGCTAAAACATCACGGTGCCTCTGCTTCCAGCTTGCCATCTTTTCCTTTCAGAATTCACCTTATTGGAGTACCATGGATGTATAACAAGTGCACCTGTTACCATTCGGGGCATTGTGACACCACCAGCTCAACCAAGATAGAAATAACTTCTATTACCCCAGAAAGTAACCCTGTGGCCCCTTCATGTCACCATCCCACCCCTGCTGGGACAGTCCCTGACCTGCTGTGTAGTCCTGTAGATTCATTTTGCCCATTCTAGAATTTTATACCCAATATGAGTTGTGAAATAAAATCTCATTTTTAAAAAGACCAAAAGTGATGTGAATGCTAATATTGAAATAATTTTCTAACTGTAAACTTTTGGAATAAGTTAATCAAAGTAAAGCATTCTCATTCTCTCTCTTCTTCCGCCCCTCCCCTGACCACCATTCCCCTGTTCCCCAGCCGCACCCACCATAGTCCACTGTTCCTAGATCATCTAAGTTCCATTGTCCCGGATGGGGACCTCACTAACCAACCTCATCCCCCAGGACAACCTTGCTGCCATTTAACTTCTGCTTCAGGACACCTGCTATGTTTCAGTGACATCCCGAAGAGCTGGCCCAATTTTACTGCTCTCCCAGTAAAGCTGAATTCCTGAGATAAGCAATCAGGATTGGGACCTGTTTGTAGAAAACAGACTCCTGCTTATTCCAGACTTTATCCAGCTCAAAGCGCCCTCTTCCCCGGCTCAGTGACAGGGCTCCCGCCCTCTGTGATGACATGAGGATCAGATCCAGACCAGGCAGTCCAGCTCCTCACTGTGTGCTTGGTGGGTTGGGGTGGGGGGATGGGCAGGGTTAGCAAGAATTATAAATAAACAAGTGAAACCTAAGAGGTGATATGGATTTTGGTTATCCAGGCCTCTAGGATACCTTAGCCTAGTCATGGTCTTGTAAACCAGCTAAATCCAGACTAACCAGCTCCTCTTCATTGTCTTGGATCCTCTCTCAGGACAGCCGTCATCATCCTGAGATTGCAGACCGGTTCCTAAGTGCACTACAAGATTTCCCAGTCACAGTGCCCCAGGGAGTGCAAATGTACCAGGTCAGTGAGTTGAACGTGATGGAAACCTAGAAATGAAGAGATAAGTTCAGCCTCTGCAGAGCCAGTCAGATCTCAGGTTGGGGGGCTTGTTCTGACTTTCTAGTTGCTGCTAGCACTTGGCTGGTGCATGATCTACGTTAGGGAGGCACTGGGATCCAAGGTCAGGCCCCGGTTGCCGCTGGATGGACTCCAGGTTGAACCAACTGCCTGACGAATCAGCAGACTAACGATTGTGGTCTTTTCACAGTGGTGTTCTTGGGTAATTTGCTTGATATTTACTCAGAAGAGCAGCTGAGCCAGGAAGTTCAGCCTCTAGCCCTGATTGCAAATGTTTAATCTCCGGTCAGCAAACAAGAACCCTGCAAACAACTGAACTCAGCCTTCTGGAAGGAGAATTTAGCAATCACTGTTCTCACTGGAGCATATCCCCTCTCCTAACCCACCTCTGCAAACACAGACATGCATGCATACCAATGAGCGTGCACACCCACACACACATGCACACACACGCTCGCACACACCCCCTGAGAAGAACCCCAGAATAAGCACTCTTTGCCTTTTCTGAAACTCCACTCACAGGAGCAGCCAGGGCACCCTGCTCTAGATCTGGGAGGATATCATTGCCAAGCCCCACCCACTACCAGCCGTGCCAGCTTCTGGCTTGGATACTGGGCACCCCTCCCCACCCTCAGGAACTGTATCACATTAGATCTTGTCGCCATGATCCTTTTCACATGGGCCAGTTGATCACTGGGAACGTGAGGGAGCAGGCAGGGAGGCCGCCTGAGCTCCTGGAGAAGGGGGTGTGGGACGCCGCTTGGGAAATGAAGATAGCAAAAGGAGGAGCTGGGGTGCTCCTTCACCCACCTGGCCATGTTGCCAGAGGTCGGCCCGTCTGGGGCATTTCCACAGAACTGACGTGACAGTTCCCCAGCCTGGTTACATCATTAAACGGTCACACAACCGTCCAACACACTCCAGCGTTCACCGCCCAAGGGTGATGATCTGATTTCCCAATCCTGAGTCAGGAGTGTTGCTGACGGGCCAGGCCACTTCTGAGGATTACCGGCTTCTAGGGCAATTCTTGTCTCCCTCCGTAGAGTGTGGATTCTCAGCAACCTCTCCAAGATCCAGTTGGACGCCCCATCATGCACCTGTCGGGTCTGAAACATGCCACAGGCGAAGCTGAATTTTGTGATGACATCCCCATGGTGGATAAGGAACTTTTCATGGCTTTGGTGACCAGTACCAGGGCTCACGCCAAAATCATGTAAGTCAATGAAATAGTCTCCAAAGCCTTCTAAAAGCCCACCTGGGGAGTCCTCAGCAGAATGTACCCTATAAGATCCTGACCCTACAGCTCCTAACATGGAAAGAATACAGAATAGACCACTGGGGCTGGCACTATGGTGCAGGTAAAGCCACCGCCTGCAGTGCCGGCATCCCATATGGACACCAGTTCAAATCCCGGCTGCTCCATCTCTGATCCAGCTCTCTTCTATGGCGTAGGAAAGCAGTAGAAGATGGCCCTTGCACCCACGTATGAGACCCGGAAGAAGTTCCTGGCTCCTGGCTTCAGATCAGTGCAGCTCCGGCCATTGTGGCCAACTGGGGAATGACCAGTGGATGGAAGACATCTGTCTCTCTCTCTCTCTCTCTCTCTCCTCTCTTTCTTTCTCTCTTTCTGCCTCTCCTTCTCTCTGTGCGTAACTCTGAATTTCAAATAAATAAGTAAATCTTTAAAAAAGACCATCAACACAATACCAAGTAGAACAAAGCAAAGTCACTGGAAATGACCATCATGAGCGAGAATAAAAACCACAGTTATGGGCCCCTTGTTTTGATCCTAACTCCATAAAACCTCATCTCCCTGCTGTATCCTCAGGCGTGGCTTTAAGGAGCAGCTCTGATATAAGGCTGATATTCAGCTGGCGAGAAAACCTTGTCATGCCTACCTCACTACCAAAGGGTGAATGGCCACTGTCCTAAGCTTCCGAAGAATGTCCCTTGTCACAGCTGCACTGCCCATTTCCCTGTACCCTATCCCCTCTGGCAGCTGAAGTGTTACCCCCTGGCCCAGCAAGATATCGCCTGGATCCTGCTTCATGGCAGGTACATTCTCAGTGACCAAGGCCTAGGCTGATTTGTTGCCATATATATATTTTTTAAAGATTTATTTATTTGTTTGAAAGGCAGAGTTACAGAGAGGCAGGGGCAGAGGCAGAGGCAGAGAGAGGTCTTCCATCTGCTAGGTCACTCCCCAGATGACCAAAACTGCTGGAGCCGTGACAATCCGGAGCCAGGAGCTGGGAGTTTCTTCCAGCTCTCCCACACAGGTGCAGGGGCTGGAGGACTTGGGCCATTTTCTACTGCTTTCCCAGGCCATAGCAGAGAGCTTGATCAGAAGAGGAGCAGCCAGGCCTCAAACTGGTGCCCATATGTGACGCTAGTGCCGCAGGCTGGGGCTTTAACCCTCTGCACCACAGCATCAGCCTGCTATATATCTTTCTTTTCAGCTGTACCATATCCCTCCCTCATGTCTGGGACCCTGACAGCTTTGCTTTTCCACTCCTCATATATCATCTCTCTTTTTTCAGATCAATAGATTTGTCTGAGGCCCTCGAACTACCAGAGGTGGTTGATGTGATAACAGCTGATGACATTCCAGGCACCAACGGTGCTGAAGATGACAAATTACTGGCTGTGGACAAGGTAGGTATGGAACATGCCTTGTGCAGGTCATTACCAAGGTGCCACCTCCAGCCAGTTTCCTGTCCCCTCCCTGAGCCTTCCGCCGCTGGCAGGTGGAAACATCAAGTCTTCAAGCCCCCCTCCACCCAGGCATCTTTATTCAGCCCTGAATAAAGGTTCTGGAGATAACACAGTGACAGGAAACTTACTGAGGAAAAGCAGAAAGTCCTAATTCTGACACTGAGTCTCCTTGAGTCCTCTTACCTCCTTCTGCAGGGTAAGCCCATCAAAACAACTGATCTGTATCAGGATAGAATACCCTAGAAAGATCTAGAAAGAAGAATACAAAAAAATACAGCCACTGCCACTTGTTGACACTGAACTCCCTCCCTTGCTGCCCCCCCATGTCCCATTTTTAATAACGTTGCTCTTGCCCTTTGACCTTTCCATTCAAACTCAACAACCATCCAGTGAGCTCTTGATTTTGGAACTAGACTGGCTCAGTTCGTGTTCCCTCACTTCCGCTTGCGAGCTCTATCCCCCTGGGATTTCTTATCTGTCAAAAGGGAATCAGCACCACACCCGTGTTGCTGTGTCACCGTGAGATTTGAGTTCTGAGCACACCTGAAGCGCTCAGGACCTGTCTGGCGTGTGATGGCTCTCGGGAAGTGCCAGCTAGGATTGCTCCATCTGCGAAAGTTTCACGCAGACTTTCGCCCCCAGCCTTGGAATGAACCTCTGGCGTTTGGCATCTACTCCTGATGAAGAGCTCTGATAAGAGATGTGTTCATCTGCTCAGGCTGCCATAATATGATGAATTTGTTTGTTTGAAAGGCAGAGCAATGGAGCAAGAGGGACACACATACACACACACAGAGGTCTTCCATCCATTGGTTCACTCCCCAAATGGCCACAAACAGCCAGGGCTAAACCAGGCCAAAGCCAGGAGCCAAGAACTCCATCCTGGTGTCCCGCCTAGGTGGCAGAGGACATCTGCTGCTTTCCCAGGTGCAGTACAGGAAGCTGGATCAGAAGTGGAGTAGCGGGGCCAGTGCTGTGGCGTAGTGGGTAAAGCCACTGCCTGCAGTGCCTGCATCCCATATGGGCGCCAGTTCGAGTTCCGGCTCCTCCACTTTCTATCCAGCTCTCTGCTATGGCCTGGGAAAGCAGTAGAAGATGGTCCAAGTCCTTGGGCCCCTGCACCTGCGTGGGAGACCTGGAAGAAGCTCCTGGCTCCTGGCTTCGGATTGGAGCAGCTCCAGCCATTGTGGCCATCTGGGGAGTGACCCAGAAGATGGAAGACCTCTCTCTCTCTCTCTCTCTCTCTCTCTCTGCCTCTCCTTCTCTCTCTATGCAATAAATAAATCTTTAAAAATCTTTAAAAAAAAAAAAAAGTGGATCAGCTAGGACTTGAACTAGTACTCTGGTAGGGCATGTTGGTGTTGCAAGTAGTGGCTTAACCCAGTGAACCACAATACTGCCCCACCCCACCCCCTTAAAATACTTTGAACTCTAAAGTGATACCATGGAGGTGACATGTGTGAACCATGCTCAGCAGAGGACACGATAGTTTCAGGTCATGACCGATCTCCCCTCCACTCTGGGACTAACAGTCACTATGTCAAGTGGCCAATGGAGCCGTCTATACGAATTTGCTTTCCATGAGCTTTTTCTTAGCCAAGTACATGTAGTTGAATGAGGTTCCACTGTGGTTATTACTACTCAACAAGGACATCTAAGACATCAGCCACTGGTAAGATTGGGCTAGGCGGTCTCACCTGGAATTGTCTATCTGAACAATGCAGGTACTTTGTGTGGGCCAGATCATCTGTGCTGTGGTTGCAGAGACAGACGTGCAGGCCACGCGAGCAGCTGGAAAGATCAAGATCACTTATGAGGATCTGGAGCCCATGGTCTTCACCATTGAGGTAAGCCAGGCCAGCCGGTCTCACCCTAAGGCTGTAGAAACAAACGGCCCTTGTAAATATATCTAACCTAAGATTAAGTCAAGGATCGCTTGTATCTGTGGCTTTGGCCTGCTCTGGGAAAATCGGCTTTCTCTGGAAGATGTTATTTGTATGAGTTGAAATTGTTTCTGGCTCCAAGGAAAAAAATAGAAGTTTGTCTTTCAAGTTCAGAAAGTCTATAGGGTGTCTTAGTCTGTTTCGTGCTGCCCTAACAGAATCCCCAGGACTGGGTAATTTATAATAAACAGACATTTCTTTCCCACAGTTCTGGAGTCTGGTAAGTCCAAGATCAAGGGGCCCCCTATGGGGAGCACTTTCTTGCTTTGTCTTCCTGTGGCGGAAGGGCTGTAGTGCACACAAGCATGCATGGGAGGCAGTGAGAAAGCGGGGGCGAGGGTGAGTGAGAGCGTGGCAAACTCACTTTCACAGCATCACTACTTGCAATAACAAGACTATTCCCATAATAACAACATTAAACCACTCGTGCAGGCAGAGCCTCGTGCCCTGCTCCCCTCTTCAAGGCCCCACCTCTCAATGCTGTTGCATTAGGGATTAAGTTTCCAACACGTGAACTTCAGGGGACACATTCAAGCCGCAGCACGCAGGGTTCGATGCGGCAGGGAACCAGTCTCCTCCTCTGTGCCATCACACATGGCTTCCATTCTCTGGGTCACATTTTGGTCCATAATAATTACCGAGGTTCTCACCATTAAACCCACACTCCAGACAGCATGGAGAATGAGCTGATGAAGAAACAATGCCCCCCTGCATCTCCCTTTGCAGTCGGGTGTGTGGCAATGTGCAACCTACACATCGTCCTCTAGCTCATTGGTTAGAACCTGTCATATGCAACACCTCACTGCAAACCAGACTGGGATATGAGGACTTTATTCCAGGAAGCCAAATAGACACTAAAAAGTTGGGAACTCCCATTACTTGGGGAAGATAATGAGAATGAATATTGGGAACAATAAGGTTTTCGAAGCGGAGCTCCAAAGCCATGGGAACGCTCACAATAGAATTCCACAGAAATTTCCGCCCTCACTTCTCGATCTAGATAATGGGGTTTGAATGGAGTTTCCAGGAAAGACAATGGAGTGGGAACAGAAAGTGCAGACATGGACTGGCAAGCGCAGGTTCTGATTCAATGAGGAACAGGATCAGAGTAGCTGAGTTGAGAAAAGCTCGCTTGTTTGACCACAAAAAGCGTTTGAAGGCCCCGGAGAAGTGTTGGAACACCTTTAAGTAGTAGGGATTGCTCAATATTCAAGGTGTTACATGATCCTTGATATTTCTCCACCAAGTCAACCCTGCCCCAGATTCCTGTATGGCAAGTTTGGAAGGAGTCCAGGCCATTTTTCTTGGCTCACTCCCCTTCCACCTTCCTCAAGCAAAAACAACACATGACGAACACACCATGGAAAATTCTGGGACTCAGAATGGTCTCGAATTCTCTCAGAACAAGACTGTGAAGTCAGCAAAAGTTCTGTCAGGGGCAGGTGTTTAGTGCAGTGGTTAAGATGCCAGTGGGGATGCCCATATCCCACATCTGCAGTGTCTGGTTTGATTCCCAGCTCCACTTCCCACCCAGCTGCTTGCCAGTGCACACCCAGGGAGGCAGCAAGTGATGGTCCAAGTACCTGGGTCCCTGCCACCCACATGAGAGACCTGCATTAGGTTCTGGGCTCCTAGTTTTGATCTCATCTGACCCTGGCTGTTGTAGGCATCTGGGGAGTAAACCAGCAAGTTGGAGAGATTTCTCTCTATATATCTAGCTCTTTCTCTGCCTTTCAAATAAATGTAAATAATAATAAATTCTCTGTGACCAGAAGCAGGTAATGAAATAGTCATATCACCAGCACTGATTTATCTGTGAATTCATCCATTTGTTTATGTGGCTATGTATGAAAGGCAGTGTACATTAGTGGCTAAAAGCACAAGTCCCAAAACCACTTACTAGCTGTGTGACCTCAGGCAAGTTACTCCAGCTCTCTGTGCCTTGGTCTCCTTGTCTATAAAATGGTAATAATGCATATAATAATACATATATAATAATAATGGTAATAATGTGTATCTCATGAGGTTGCCGTAAAACTAAATAAGCTAATACATGTAAAGCCCTTAAAACAGTGCCAGGCATGTAGCCAGTGCTCACTAAATACTAGTATGGCATATGTTATGATAAGGTGACACTGTCATATGAAACATTTACCATGTGGCAATAAACATGCCTCCACATGGACCATGCACGTGTGACCTATTGTATCTTAGTATAACAGAAATGAAAAAGTCAACCATACTGTTAATCTCCTGTTGCTTTCAGAAATCAGGGATTCATCACTGGGCAAAAAGTTTCTGAAACTAAGCCTCAGCTAGAAAGCTGCCTCTCTCGTTTATTTGCAGCTGGTTGTGAGGAACCTAAAGTAATTTTAGCCTCTCTAAGCCCCATTTCTTTGCCTAGAAAATGAAGTTCGGAATAAGATCCATATGAGAATCCAGGTAAATACACTGTTAGTGCACAGTGCCTAACATGATGCAAACACTCAGTTGATACGAACTGCTCTCAGTTTCTCAGTATCATCAGAAAGAAAGACAATGGAATCTAAGACCATTGACATCTAAGTGCAGCAGACACAGGTCATTCTGAAATGTGGAAAGAACAGCTTGGGTCTAAATGTTGAGAAAAATCAGCTGTGGGGAAGGCAAGTCCACAGAGCCCCAGAGTGGAGTGCCTCCGGTCTTCATGGGTACAGTCAACACATGTCACTGTCAGAACAAAACACCATGAGGGCTGGCGCTGTGGTGTAGTAGGCTGAGCCTCTGCCTACAGCACCCATATGGGCGTTGGTTCAAGTCCCAGCTGCTCCTCTTCCGATCCAGCTCTCTGCTATGGTGTGGGAAAACAGTAGAGGATGGCCCGAGTCCTTGGGCCCCTGTACTCACATGGGAGACCTGGAAGAAGCTCCTGGATTTGATTGGCACAGCTCTGGCCATTGTGGCCATCTGGGGAGTGAGCCAGCAGATGGAAGACCTCTCTCTCTCTCTCTCTCTGCCTTTCAAATAAAAAAAAAAAAAAATCTTAAAAAAAAAAAAAAGAAAAGAAAAATCCAATGGAAGAAAAAGTAGAGAATGAGCTAATTGTTCCCCCTCTCCTTCAGGACGCCATAAAACACAATTCATTCCTATGCCCTGAAAAAAAACTTGAACAAGGAAATGTCGAGAAGGCATTTGAAAAAGTGGATCAAATTGTTGAAGGTAAGGGGCTGGCTTGCAGCGCAGGGGGTGGAGCCACTGCCTGGGCCACGGACATCCTGTAGTGCTGCCCCACTTCCAACACAGCTCCCTGCCAATGCACCTGGGAAAGCAGCAGAAGATGGCCCAGGTGCTTGGGCCCCTACCACCCATGTGGGAGACCCAGATGCAGCTCCTGGCTCCTGGTTTTGGCCTGGTCCAGCCCTGGTCATTGCAGCCACTGGGGGAGTGAACCAGAGGATGGAAGATCTCTTTCTCTTTCTCCCTCTTGCATTTCAAGTGTTTACATAAACCTTCCTTAAAGATTGTTGGAGGCAGGTGACTCAGGGTGGTTCATAGAGTCCTGGCCTGATTCTAGCCTGAAACAGACACAGAGAGCCTGTGATTTCCCCTGGGAAGCTCACCCTTGGAAGCCTTGGGGCATCGCTGGACTTCTTATCCCTTCTCTCAAATGGTGTGCACGTGTGGGTCATGTCTGGGGTGGGAGGCAGGGAGAGGCAGATTTGGGTTCATCCAGGACAGAGCAAGAGACAGGACCTGGCCCCTTTCACATGCTGCCCAGAGCTGTAACCTCTCAAGCAGCCTGTGCTCGCTTGTTGTAAGACAGGTGCCCGATCCTTGCTTGGGACCGATCCTGGCCAGCCAGTCCACACCTCGCTCGCTGGGGCAGCCTCCAGCCAGCACGCACCTTCCAGAGTTCTCCTGTGTTTACAGGAGAGGTCCACGTTGGCGGACAAGAGCATTTTTATATGGAAACACAAAGAGTGCTTGTAATTCCAAAGGCCGAAGACAAAGAGCTGGACATTCACGTGTCTACCCAGGATCCAGCCCACGTGCAGGTGAGGCTCAGGATCACCCCCCCCACACACACACACACACACACCCGGCAGTCAGCCCCCCCAGCCTCATGGTTGGTGGTCACTTTCCCTGCAGTAACTCAGGATCCGAGCATCGGACATCAACAGAGCAGCTGAGACCTGAGAACCTTTTCTATTTTATTTTTTTCTGGTCTTGTTTAGTAAGTAAGAGAGCAGCCACCGTCTCTTTAGATGGAAAGAGATTTGGGGAGGTGCCTTAGGCTTAGATGACCTCTGTGATTGGATGACACAGCTAAAGTATTTCTGTGCTTGATTTTTAACCCCCTAAAGTAGTTGTCACAGGTAACCTGTGGAGCGAACACCTCACCATGTCCGCATGCTCACTTCCTCGCTCACAAAGCATGCTAGGTCTTAGCTGCGAGCCCACCCTGTCCACCTCGGTAGGTTGTCAGGAGTTGTCTGGTTTTCACCCACGTGGGACTTTGAATCCGGGCCTCTGAGTATGAACCAGCTTCCAGCAGGTGCCCAGGACTCTGGCAGCTCCCCTCCCGGTCCATGCCATCTTTCTGCAGGAAAGGCCGCTCGGTGGAGAGGAGCCGTGTTTGTGGACACCCAGCCCCCGCGAGACACAATCAGACCCTGTCCCTTGCCACTCATCAGCAGATGTGGGTGACCGCTGTTGCCAGGTGGTGCTGGGCCATTTCGCTCCTGTAAACCTTCCCGGTGTCTCTCGCTTTTCCAGAAAACAGTGTCGTCCACGTTAAACATCCCCCTCAACAGGATCACCTGTCATGTGAAACGAGTGGGTGGAGGTTTCGGAGGGAAGGTGGTCAGGCCAGCTGCATTTGGAGCCATTGCAGCAGTAGGCGCTGTTAAGTGAGTATGCCTGGGGCGACACGGGGTGTACAACGCACAGAGCTGAGGGCGCCTCTGTGGCCTGACAGTCCCCTGGGCTGCTGTCATACCCTCCTGCGTGCCCTTGGGCAGTTCAGCATTGCACCTCTGTTTCTCTATCAAATGTAGACAGTAGCACCTCCTCCGCCAACCATTTAGCATTATTGCAAAAGGCAAATGTACACAGGACTTGGAAAAATCCAATATGCTGCAAAAAAGGGAAAGTGGTTGTATTAGATGGACATCCCCAGGGCAGGGGTCCCCCATTCCCGAGCCTCAGGGAAGGCAGCCCCTGCACAACAGGAGGGCGGAGACAGAGGCAGAGGCTGCTCCCCGGCGTTTCCTTCCTACTCTCAGCCCCAGAACAAGGCGGATGAGGAAACAAGGCCTCCCCGGCTTTGGTCCCCTGGGGTCTGGCAAGGGCCACCTTTTCAAAGTGCCCATCTCAATGGACAGATGGGTCAGCCTCAAGGAAGGCTCCCTGCTTTGCTGTTTATCCGCCAGCGTACACGTTTAGTATGTGCTGGCTTATCTATTACTTGTTCATTTTCTATGGCCGTCCCGGTGGTATTTTATCGGAGCCCCAGTCAACCTGCAAACTTCACAGGTTCGGCTGCCTTTGATGACCCCTGTGAGGTTCATAGCAAGGTCCCAAAGAACACAGTCATGTGTCTCAATCCAAAATGGAAGGTGGAAAAAAAGTAGGCCCTGGGGGCTGGCACTGTGGTATAGGTTAAACTGCTGCCTGCAGCGCCAGCATCCCATATGGGTGCCGGTTCAAGTCCTGGCTGCTCTACTTCTGATCCAGCTCTCCGCTAATGTATCTGGGTAAATAACAGAAGATAGCTTAAGTCCTTGGGCCCTTGCCACCCATGTGGGAGACTCGGAGGAAGCTCCTGGCTCCTGGCTTGCAGCCATTTGGAGAATGAGCCAACAGATGGAAGATTTCTCTCTCTCTCTCTCTCTCTCTCTGCCTTTCAAATAAATAAAATGTTTTAAAATAGCTATTTAAAAATCCCATTGCGTAGCTTCCCCATACTGACCCAGACATCAGTATATTTTAAAACTTCCTTCCCCAGTGGTTCCGCTGTGAGACCAAGTGTGAGAGCCAGCGCCTTGAGTTACAATCCTGTCCAGCACACAACTGCCGTGCACTAGGTGACCCCCAGGTTTCCTGATAGGAAAAATCTCCTGAGATCACAGAAATCCCTGTCTCCCCCTCTCAGTCTCCCTGAGTCAGAACCACGGGAGGGCCCTGGAAACTGCCCAAGTAGCTGTTGCTCTGGTGGTCTGCGGGTGACAGAGACCAGGCAGCCCCGCCCTCGCACGTGTGCTGAAGACACCTGCATCAGAGCAAACACAGCTCCTAAGGCCCCTCCCCAACACATTCATCAGAATCCTAGTACTAAGGCCCAGGAATAAGCATTTTCACTAGCACTCAATCCTTCTGCATTCTACAGTCTAAGAACCCATGCCCTAGACAAAGAGAAAGGCTGAGGCTCCCAGCTACCCAAAGGCCCAGCATGGCCAACACCGTATCAGCCTCCACCATTGCTATCACTTCACTCACTGATGGTGCTAACACAGACATTCTAGGATGAGCATTGGCCTTGATTTTCCAGTCGAGTTGTTAGGTTCAGACGTACCTGTTCACCCACTTTGTGCTTTGTAACTGGTGGTGGGGATATGCAAAATGGCTGCATCTGAATGAAATCAAATTTGAAGCCATAAAAATACAACCTAACTGACATGTGGCATTAACCCCTTTAGCTGGATGGCCAACACCCAAGGTGTGGATCACAGAGACATTAGAAATTCAGTCATACGTTAATTCACATTAGTGCCTGGCACATTGTATGCAATCAATAAATCTAATTGGGATGGATAGCTGGATGGATGGTTAAGTGAATGGTTAGGTAAATAGGTGGGGGGGGGTGAATATTGGGTGGGTGGGTAGATAAGTAAAGGGATACATGAATAGGTGGGTGGATGAGTAACTGGGCAGATGGATGGGTGGGATGGATGGAGAATCTAAGATGTGTCTCTTTTAGAACTGGCCGTCCCGTTCGTCTGGTTCTTGATCGTGAAGATGACATGTTAATAACCGGGGGAAGGCACCCATTATTTGGAAAATACAAAGTGAGTACAAAGATGAAATTATTAAAACAACTCATTTTATTTGAATGCCTTTGTCCTGCTCTATTATTTTGATTTTTGCTAAACCATAGCATCTAAAATATTAAATGAAGAGTCTGTGTATTTGAATGACCTTAATATTTCATGATGACCTTCTAACCTGCCTACTGTATAATTATGAAAAAGCTTAATGATAAAATATAATTTCAATGGACAATGAAACAATTTATATTAGTGGTTCCTCAAAGATCATTTTTAAACTGAAAGAAGCTGCAGACATTGTTATACCAGAATTTCTTGATATTATTCTAAAGGAGAAATGTTTGGAAGCAATTTTAAGCATTGTATCATTCTTTCACAACTGTTCCTAACAAATGATTATGAAAAAGGCTCAAAAGCTCTTTGCAGATAGAAAAAAAGAATCTACTAGCTAATGAATTTTAAATTACTTCAAAACATGTTTACTGCATGTTTATGCAACTATAATATTATCATTATTAAAAATACATACCAGCAGCTCATTGACAAATTTGTAACTTAGGATAATTCTAATGTAACATAAAACATACCAAACTTGCGTTACTCAGGAATTGCTTGTGGCATACACATAGCTGGATTTCCTATCTGATTTTGGTCATTGCCTCAGAGTATTAAATGGTTATGGTCTCTGTATTACTAAAAGCACAGCCTTTCATAGTACAGCAGAATTTTATTGGCATCAGTAACTTTTATAATTAGAGAGGAAGGGAGCATAGTTGGCCATTGAACTTTTTATTTGCTTTTTAAGGCACAGGAATGAATAGTGACATCTATTATTATCTCCTAAGGTCAAGAGGAATGCAGACACACACTGGGGTTTTGTGACAGTTGCTGCTGTGTTCTTGGTTTTCGACCTGGATTGTAAATTAGGCTTTATATCATAGTCAGGAGATTGTGAAGCTTCTTAAGGTGGTTCTAGACTGTTAATATTTTGCTAATATTTTAAAATAAAATATAAGTAAGAAGAGGAAGATTGTTTTTGAAAAATCCAAATTTTATTTGATTTTTAAAGGTATATGATGTTACTTCCAGTATATTAACATGTGTGTGTGTGTGTGTGTGTGTGTGTGTACCAGGGCATTTCAAAACACTCATGGAAAATGGAATTGAAAAATAAGTTTCTTTTAGTGCAAAAATCTTGAAACCCATGCATAGGAAAGGTCTTTTGAAATGTTCATGGAAAATGCCTACTGTGAGAAAGCTATGGATTTCAAAAATACTTGCCCCAAAATAAACTTCTCTGTTCACCCTATTTTTCCATGAACTTTTTGATGGACTCTTGTATGTCGTGTCTTCATTCAACACAGCTCACTGTTTTTGTCTGGTTATTCAGAGTTATTTTTAAACTAGCAAAATAAATATTTGCATGTAAATAAGTTCTTGCAAAATTCTTGAAAGGGTTATATTAAATAGTTTAGGAATTCTCTCTGTTCCCTTTTCTATACTATTTTGGCTTGGCAATCCTTTCTTCATGAAAAGTCAAAGGTGGGCTTCAGCCCAGCATTTGTCAAAAGTACCATGAATTCTGAACTTGTGTATTTCCCCACACTTCCTAAGCGCTCTTGGTTTGTCAGCCAGCATTTCCCTTGAAGCAGATGACAATAACCACATAGCTATCCCGTTCCTTCAGTCGTGTTTATCCCAAAGGGACCAGGGCCAATCCTCCTTTGGTAGAACCACGACAGGAAGTAGGGAATCTTTTTTTTTTTTTTTTTACAAAGTGGTTTGGAGGCTGAGGTGCAGGGTAGCAACCTGGGGAAATCTAGGCTGCTGCCTTAGTGTCTCCCAAACCGTGGACAGAACTAGCTCCCCTTTCCAGGTTCTGTAACCATTACAAAGCACCTCCTCCACCGAGTGAAATAAGAGCAGTCCTTCCTCAGCGTCCGTTCACAGCCCTGAGCCTCAGAGGCTCCTCTCGCAGCAAGATTCACTGTGATTCGTGGTAGTGCATTGTGGAATTCCAGAGACTTCCACAAGGGAAGAAACTACAGACTAAATTAGAAAGAAACCCAGGTTTTAAAAAAATGAAGGGCACTCGTCCAAGAATAAGGAGGAAGAAGGTGGCAGTTCTCTGCTGGGAAGCAGGCAAGAGCATTAGAGTTGCATATGAAGGGCTCAGCAAAAGTCCCATCAGAAGGCAGCTTCGTTTTTCAAGTCCTGAAAAACCAGGGGAGTGCAAGATGCGGTGCACCACACCACAGAGCAAACGGGGAGCAGAGGGCTGGGCAGTGGCTTGTGCTTGGCTTGGGAGTCTTAAACCTATCAGTCAAGTGTCCATCATTGACAGGTGGGCTTCATGAACAACGGGCGCATCAAAGCTCTGGACGTGGAATGCTATGTTAACGGAGGATGCACGCTGGATGACTCCGAGCTGGTAGGTGCATCCGAAACCAGCAACGCCCTGGATTGTGTTCCGAATGCAGCATTTCTGCATGAGTCTTCTTTTTTTTAAAGATGTATTTTATTGTTTATTTGAAAGAGTTACACAGAGAGAGAAGGAGAGGCAGAGAGAAAGAGAGAGAGAGAGAGAGAGAGAGAGAGAGGTCCTCCATCCACTGGTTCACTCCCCAATTGGCCACAACGGCTGGAGCTGCACCGATCCAAAGCCAGGAGCCAGGAGATTCTTCTGGGTCTCCCACGTGGTTGCAGGGGCCCAAGGAGTTGGGCCATCTTCTACTGCTTTCCCAGGTCGTAGCAGAGAGCTGGATCGGAAGTGGAGCAGCCAGGACTTGAACCAGCACCCATATGGGGTGCCGGCACTGCAGGCGGCAGCTTTACCTGCTGCGCCACAGTGCCGCCCCTCTGCATGAGTCTTTATGAAGCATCTTTCTCCAAGCTGTTAACAAATTCTGCAAGCAGTTCAACTCTGTCCTTGACTTTTAGAGGAAAAGAAATGCAGCTCAGTGTATCTGAATCTCTCCTTTAGGTAACAGAATTTCTCATACTAAAGCTGGAAAATGCATATAAGATCCGCAACCTCAGGTTCCGGGGCCGAGCATGCATGACAAACTTACCTTCCAATACGGCCTTCCGTGGATTTGGCTTCCCACAGGGGACCCTGGTGACAGAAGCTTGCATCACAGCTGTGGCAGCCAAATGTGGCCTCCTTCCAGAACAGGTGAGGTTGCAAGCAAGCTCACGCTCAGAGTGCCTGGAGAATCAAAGAGGTGGGAGTCCAGCTATGCTGACCCAAGCATCACATTAGAAGGAACTTGCAAGTTAGTCCTGGCTCTGAATTCAAAATAAATTAAAAACTGCCTCAAAGCCCTCGTCTCCCTCTCTTACTCCCTCCTTCCTCATCCTAAGATTTCTCTTTTTCTTCCTTTTTAAAATGTGTATAAAAATAATTGGTTTTTAAAAATCCAAAGCACCTTGAAGTAATGGAAGTGAAAAGTGATCACACCCTTATTCATTCCCCATTCCTGTTGGTCAAGAGTAACCTTTATGAACAGTCCCATGTTTCTTGTTCTAAGCCTTTTCTCTGTCTTTATCTGGCCATTTGTATCTGTCCACACGTCTATCAACAGTGACATGTGACATATAGGTGCATATAAATGTTTATTAGCAAAATGAGATCCTGGTAGCCATACTCTTCTGCCTCTTCCCTTTTCTGCCGGATAATATGCACGGCCATCTTTCTGTGTCAGAAGAATGATCGAGTCCATTCTTTTTCATGACTGCACAGTGCTATGTAATACTATGGATGTATCAAAACTTATTCAGCCACTCCATTATTGGTACACATTCAGGTTGTTACCCATTTGTAGCTATTAAAATGATGTTGCAGGGGCCAACACTAAAGCCACTGCCTGCAATACTGTTATCACATAAGGGTACTGGATGGTAGCCCAGGGCTCCACTTCCAGTCCAGTTCCCTGCTACTGTGCCTGGGAAGGCAGCAGAGGAAAGCCCAAGTGCTTGGGCCCCTGTACCCACGTACGAGACCCGGATGAAGCTACTGCCTCCTGGCTTTGGCTGCTTAAACCCCTTTGTCCCTAAATTCAGCAGAGCCTCCGGGATTGTGACATGATTGTCAGAGTACTTCCTGCACACAAGAGAACACCTAATACCATGCCCGGAAGACAACAGCTATTCTAAGAGGAGTCACGGCAAGCATTCTAGGGGTACAAAGGAGGAGGACATCACATTAGCTTGAGGGGAGAAGAGCCAGAAAGAACTTTCTGGAGAAAATGGCACTTGAGACAGGCCGTGAGGAATGATAGGCATGGGTGGGGAGAAGGTCATTCAGGCAAGTGGAGCAGGCAACCTCTTTGTGGCTCCATCTATAAAATGAGCACAAAATGACTCACGGCACAGAGTTCCTGCAGAAGCGAATGAGTTGGCAATCAGGAAAACACTGGTGTTCAGGGACCGGACAGTACCACTGCAGTGTTGCTGCTGGTGATAATACAGTCAGTCCCATGTTGCTATCCGAGTGAGATGAGGCTGATGGAAACCGGCATTCCTCGGCAGGCTCAATGTCTTTGAGTACTGCAAATTATCAAGTTCCCAGGATATAAAAGGCCCTCAATTTAAATAAATTTTTAAAAAGACTTAGCCACACATTCCAAAGGCAATTGGGAGGCTCACATGAGATCGTGTTATTGTCTGCAAAGATACTCCTCTGGCAGAACAGTATGACAATAAATCCTGGCTTCCGTATGCTGTCCACCGGCCCTGTTCTGTCCTTGGAACCTTATATGAAATCCCTAAATCCCTTCATCCCAATACCTTTCATGGACTAGTCACTACCCACTACCTTCCACCTTCAGGGGAGGGGAGGAGAGAACCCAATGAGCGCATTGCTGAGTGAGACAAAAAAGAATCTGATTATTTGGCAAAGAAACAAGCTATGCAAAGAAAAGGAACAGTCCATGGTTTTCCCCAACCAAAATCCACACTTCTGTGGAGAAGCTTTCTGAGTCTCTAGGTGGCCACCAGTTTCTGTCTTGCCATCGCTATTGACTGGCTTTCCCACCTATTTCAGATCAGGGAGAAAAACATGTACAAAACAGTTGACAAAACCATCTACAAACAAGCCTTCAGCCCTGAGGCCCTGATAAGATGTTGGGCAGAATGCCTGGACAAGTCGTGCTTTCACAGCCGAAGAATTCAAGTGGACGAGTTCAACAAGCAGAATTACTGGAGGAAGAAAGGCCTTGCTGTCATCCCCATGAAGTTCTCGGTTGGCTTTGCTGCGACCACCTTTCATCAGGTAGGACTCGTGCACAGGTACATCAGGCTCACCCCTGCCCCATTCATTCTCAGAGAGAAAGTCAGAGTTCCCAGAACACTGAGCTCCCCAGCCGCCAGCACTTTCAACAGAGAGAGTAGGAAAAGGCCTCAATGGCCAAACACAGAAGCAGCAAGTGTGAGAGTGAGACCTGTGGCAGCATCACTGCCGAGTTGGAGGGAGGGTCCGGAGGGTCCCCACCCACTCCCGCCTATTCAGACACGGAACTGGAACCCGGAGTGTCCATGGCACGGTGCTTGCTGATCTCTGGGTGTCGTGGCTTGGGGGGGTGGGGGGGAATTAGGCTTCTCCTGCTCTACGGCTCAGACACCTGCAGCACTCCACCGCGTACCTGTTAGGTCCTAGGCAGAGGAGCCATTCCATTTTTGTGGTTTCAAGTCTTCTCTCCCAGGAGTCTGTGTCCTGTCTGGAAGGGAATGGGGTCCACAAATTTCTCCCAGCTAAATTTGCCATAAATAAATAAAGAAATAAAGGAAGAGGAAAGCATTCGCAGGCCTTGCCAAGCAGAAGGAAAGAGGAGGGTGGCACATGGATGTGTGCCTTACACAGTACAAGACTGGGACAGACAAGTCTTCCCCGGGGTCATGGGCAGGAAGGCCATTTAGCAAGCACAGAATGGTTGTTGCCTCATCATCACTGTTCATGAAAATCTAGAAAATCTTGCACGCTTTAGGTCCCGCCATGTGCACATCACTAACAGCTGCTTGCACCTGTACCCAGCTACTGGAAACTGAGAGTTCTCATTCCCTCTCTCTCTTTCTCTCTCTCTCACTCTCTCTCACACACACACAGACTCCACACAACAATAACACAACCACAAAAGCTGCCCTGCCAAAGAAAATTCTCCTCAGGGCAAAATGTAGTTTCCCCAAATCCCTAACCAGCCGGCGGTGTCAGGAGGACTTGAGAAATCCTTGGCCGCGCCACTCACGGGCTGGGTGACATCAGGCAGGTCGTGTAACCTCTCTGAGCCTTAGCGTCCTCGGTTACAAAATGAGTTTAACAATGGCTGTCTCTTAGGATGGATGATGAACAGGGCTTGGCAAGGTTCCCAGAACACTCTAGGCCTTTTCCAGGGCAGTCCTAAGCTCCTCCCCCAAAGAGTTCAGCTACACCTCTGAGCGCTTGCTCCTCCGCTGGGTAGAATGAGACTCCCTGGCCTTGTGGGCATGTTCCCGCTCAGGTCCAGCACCCTCGCTCTACAACAGGTACAGGAAGGCTGTCGCCTTGACCGCTGGACCGAGTCAGTGGCTGGGGCAGCACTGACCCTGGACAACTGCACGTGTGATTTCTCTGCGACACCAATTCTCTGCCACCAACGGGGTGTCCAGCGATGCAGTTCTCACGCTAGCTAACCTCCGGAGGCTAGCAGAAAACCCCCCCACCCCTGCCAAGGTCAAGGGCTGACTCCCAGGAGAGTGACCCAATTCCAGACACCAGCTGTGAACAGGATGCCCAGGCCACTCCTGCGCTCCTACTTCCATCTCTCTGGCTGACTGCTAACTGGGGAGTTTTCGCTACCCCCACTCAGATTTGGTAATTTGCTGGAATGACTCACAGAACTCGGGAAAGCGCTCTGCTTCCAGTGATCACCAGTTTATGACAGAGGAACAGCCAGTGGAAGAGAGCCTCAGGGCAAGGTGGGGGAGGTGCAGTGCCTCCAGAGAGAGACACTGCCAGCTCTGGTACCCCCCCGCGTCATCACCAACCCAGAACTCCCCGAATCCATCCTTTGGGGGTTTCGGAGGGTCTCCTTTTAGGTATGATTGATTAGATCATTAGCTGTGGTGACTCAACTCGCTCTCGCCCTCCAAGGAGGTGAGGTGGGTACTGAAAGCCCTTCCCTAGCCCCCCAGCCCCAAGCTATCGGGGCCCCACCCCGTGAGTCACCTCGCTGGCAGACCAAAGACAGCACATTCCAAGTGCTTAGGAGCTCTGCGCCAGGAGCCAGCGACAGAACCCAAATATTTCTTTTTATTTGACCACACCTACCTTCACCCCAGGGCTGCTCCTAACCTAAACCACAGCCTGCTCTCTGTCTTCACTCCTCTCGCCACACACACACTTTCTCTCATTTGAAAGGTCCCCTGCTTGGCCCCCCCAAGTTCTAAATTGGTGCCCCCAAGAGTCAGCGGGCTAGGAGCTGAAGGGTGTTATTCCAGGTCAGCCGGTGACTCACAAAGCGGAACACCTGCTCTCCATGCTGGCGGTGAGAACACTGGCCTCAGAGGAGGTCAAAGGCCACAGAGAGCAAAGCCTGCTGTTAGCACCGGCAGCCCTTGGCACTCCTGAGTCCCTCCCAGACATCCCTGACCCGAATACACTGAAGATTAAAAACACCGCCTTTCCACGCCTCCAGTGAGGTATCTCTGTGGCCCAGGCCTGCTCCATGTCCTCCCGGGGACACAAAGATGTGCAAGACCCAATGTCCCCCACCCTTGGTGAGACTCTCAGAGAAGAGTCTGTTACCTCCTGCACGGTTTCCTGTGGCTCCGCTGACAATGGACCACACACGGAGTGGCTTAGAACAGCAAATGGAAGCTAGAAGTTCAGAATCAGGATGTGAGCAGGGCCAGGCCCCCTCTGAAGGCTCCCAGGAAGCCTTACTCCTGGGCTCTTCCAGCTTCTGGTGGCTCCTGGCATCCCTTGCCTTGTGGCAGGGATCACGCCAATCACTGCCTTTGTCTTCACATGGCCACCTCCCTGGGGCCTTTTAACAGGACACTAGAATTAAGGACCTCAACCCAATATGACTTCACCTTTACTAATTACATCTGCAAAGACTATTTCCAAATAAGCTTCCATCCTGAGGTTCCAGGTAAACAGGAAGTGGGACACTGTTCACCCCACTACTTCCTGTTAGAGGAAGGGGATCACTGGTCCTTCCCAGGTGGGAAGGCGAAATGTTTGGCCGAGTGCTAAGAGGGCAGAGCCCGGACTGTAGGTCTGAAGGCTGAGCAGACGTGGACGAATGGGGAGAGGGGGAGCAGGCTCGGAAAAGAGAGCAGTGGAAGGACCCAGAGGCAAGCAGAGGGAGACAAGGGCTCAGCTGGCAAAAGGACCAGAGACTGAAGTCCCAAGGCCTCGTGTTGCGATGGGAACCCTTTGCTGACTGCCCCGGAGCAGGCCTTGTCCTCCTAGGTCTCCTGGGGCCTCCCCTGCCACACCCAGTGGTCGGCCACATCTCAGTGGTCTCTGCGTGCTGCAGTAGCTGGTTTTCCAGCTTGGGTGGGCTACTTGAAGAAGAACCATCTTTGTGGACCTAGAGCCATCTTTGGGTACCACGTGCAAGTGCTTAAGAATGTTCAACTCCTAGAACAGCCATTGGAACCACTGCCGTCAGCTCCTGCTTAAACCAGCTTCTTAAGTAGCTAAGTTAGGTTTGGGCACGATAAAGGAGGCTTGCAAATCCTGCCAGATAAGCGGAGCTTTCTGACCCTTCCTGCTCCCTGAGACTGGTGTCTCGCCTCTCATTCTTCATGCTGACCCTCGCTAGAGGCCAGCTTGCACTGAGCAGTGCCTTCTGGGTTGTTTTCCTAGGCTGCGGCACTCGTCCATGTCTACACGGACGGGTCTGTGCTGGTCACTCACGGAGGCAATGAACTGGGACAAGGAATTCACACCAAAATGCTCCAGGTGAAGTAAATGCAGTCAAATCATTACCCTCTACGCAGTGTGGATGTGAATGAAACTTGGGGCCCATCTTTTTTTTTTTTAAGATTTATTTATTTATTTGAGAGGCAGAGTTACAGATAGAAGGAGAGACAGAGAGAGAGAGAGAGAGGTCTTCCATATGCTGGTTCATTCCCAAATGGCCACAATGGCCAGAGCTGGGCCGATCCAAAGCCAGGAACCACGAACATCCCCTGGGTCTCTCACATGGGTGCAGGGGCCCAAGCACCTGGGCCATCCTCTACTGGTTTCCCAGGCCACCATCAGGGAGCTGGATCAGAGGTGGAGCAGCCAGGACTTGAACAGGTGCCCACATGGGATGCCGGCACTGCAAGCTGAGGCCCAGCGCACTGTGCCACGGCACCGGCCCCCGGGGCCCATCCTTTAAGCTAAGTGATGACTCTCTATATGCAAACTCAGAGGTCTTGGCTACATGGCTGAAAAACCTCTTATCAAATACAGTGGCTGGAGAGGCAGAGAACTCTCCTGGCATGTGGCCAGGCCCTGTGAGTGGAGATGGTTGTTAGTGAGGGTGCTCTGTGCTGTTCTGATACCAGCAGGCCTAGTTTTTCCATTTAAGACCACAATATTAGGCTACTGATGTTTTATTTTGACAAGTCAAGTATTTCTTCTATTGCTATTATTTTTTTTTCATTTTTATTTTTATTTATCTTTTTTAAAAATTGATATTTAATTGAAAGGCAGAGTGAGAGAGAGAGAGAGGGTTTCCACCCTCTAGTTTACTCTCTGAATGGTTGTTATAGCCAGGGCTGGCCAGGCCAAAACCAGGAGTCAAGAAGTTCCTCCATGTCTCCCATGTGGTGATAGGGGCCCAAGCACTTGCTTCTTTCCCAGGCACAATAGCAGGGAACTGGATCAGAAGTGGAGCAGCCGGGACTCAAACCAGCACCCACATAGGATACCGGCACTGCAGGCGGCACCTTAACCTGCTATGCCACCACACCAGCTCCTAATTTTTTTTTTTTTAATTTTTAAATGTAGTTTAGTGCATGCACACAGAAAATAGGAAGAATATACTCTCAGGAGGAAAAAAAAATACAAGCTTTTAAACAGAGTGCATTTAACTTGATGGCAGATTTATGAGACGGGTACAGCGCACACGTGTCCACTACCCAGCCCCTTAGCTCCCGTGGAGTGTTATCCCACATCTCATTTAGTCCTGAAGGGCTCCTCAGCTCGGGTTCCTGTTGGACCCACCCTATCCTTGCTCCCACACTTGCCTCAGATACAGGTGCAAGACTGAAGGAAAAGCCCGTCTACTGTCACAGATATCAAGGCCCTCGTGGGAAGAACAGTGAACGTGACAGGCTGCAGAGGGGCCCCTCAGCCCCTGGGTACACACACACTTGACACCGGATTCTTCTATCCTTTCCAGTGACCAATAAATTTTCTCTGGTCTTTCAGCACCAAGAAACAATAAGATTGGCCCTTTTTTTTTTCATTTTGCATCTTTCTGGATAAACAATATCGAACGAATGGCATAAGGCAGAAAGTGGCATTTCTCAGACTTCTGAAGACGGTGTTTTTGCGAAAATTAAAAAGAGAGTAACAGCAAGAATTGTGCTGTGTTCCACTGCTTTCCTTACCTCCCTTTAGGATTTCTATTTGTTCGGGAAACTGGAAAGAAAAGAACAGAAAACTGAAGAGTGAATGATAATGAGCAGGGCACTGTGGCCCCATAGGTTAAGCTGAACTCCACATGCCCACATTCCAGGAGGGCCTGGTTCAAGTGCCAGCTACTCTATTTCCCATCCAGCTTCCTGCTAATGCGCCTGGTGGGAAGGCAGATGATAATGGCCCACATTCTTGGGTCCCTGCCAATCAATTGGAAGACCTGGATGGAGTTCCTGGCTCCTGACTTCAGCCTGATCCAGTCCTGGCTGTTGCAGGCATCTGGGGAAGAAAGATGGATATCTCTTCCCCAACCCCCGACTCCTCTCTGCCTTTCAAATCATTTCTTTTAAGTAAACAGTCAATACTAGAGAAATGTGAGCATCTCGTATGAGCATAGGTTCCAGTCCCGGTTTCTCTACTTCCAATCCAGCTCCCTGCTAATGCACCTGGGAGAGCAACAGAAGATGGCCCAGGTGATTGGGCCCCTGCCACCCATGCGGGAAACCCAGATGAAGCTCTTGGCTCCTGGCTTCCACCTGGCCCAACCCCAGCCATTGTGGCCATTCAGAGAGTGAACCAGCAGGTAGAACTGTGCCTTTCAAAGAAAATAAATAAATCTTTTAAAAGAAAAAAGAAGACAGGGATTTGTGGCCATATCAAATCCATCTGCAACTGACACTAGCAGATTTCAGACAGAATTCTGAGTCAGTCAATCAATATAATCCCAATTGTGCACTCTCTCTTGCTCTCCCCCTTCTTCCCTCCATCCCTCTCCCCTTCCCCTCTGCGCCTCACCCTTTCATGCCACTGTAACCAAAAATTGCCTAAACACTGCACCTTGGACCATTCCCTGCACACATACAATTAGGAAAAAGGGAATCCGTCGCATCCTAAACCTACTAAATGTAAAAAGAAGGACCACTATGAAACATTGCCAAGAAAACACTTTAAATATTCTGTGTGAGACCCTACTAGGAGATAGTTTTTATGCTTATAAAGTACATTATTTTTTACTTCAAAAGTCATTATAGATGTAATAAAAATAGTAATATTATATTATGAAAAGGAGGTACTCAAATCTTCATAGAAGTCCACGCTAAACTTGGAAATACTCCTTTTTCTCACAGGTGGCCAGCCGCGAATTAAAAATACCCATGTCTTACATGCACCTCTGCGAAACAAACACAGCAACTGTGCCGAACACGATTGCTACAGCAGCATCCATTGGTGCAGATGTCAACGGCCGAGCAGTGCAGGTGATTCCTCCCGTGTGACTTTGCCCGGCGCGCTTCCCACGGTTCTGATTTTCTTAGCTGGAGGCAGGCACAGTGTCTGGGATTCAGAGAGGTCACCTGGCTTCAGATAACCAAAAGATCAGGAGAGGGCGTTAGTTAGAGTTGAGCTGAACTAAGGTGACAAATCAACCCAGGATAGGATGCCCCGGGCAGCACGCGGATGAGTCCAGAGGGAAAGTCTGGCTGTTGGAGCACCCAGATTGCTGGCAGGGCTGCCAGCCGCCGCATATGGCTGTCAGGTTTGTCCTGAGCATCTTCATCACCATGAGCACAGGGCAGCCCCTTCGGAAGAGTCTGGGCCAGGCCTGCATGGGATGCCTCTCACTTCCACTCATCTTCTGTTAGCAGAACCAGTGTCAGGCCATGCCTGGCTGCAAGGGAGGCTGGGAAGTGGAGAGGAGTGGGGAAGCTGTATGCATAATTACTAGGAAAGGAGGCTAGGACGGGGGCCAGCTTTGTGGCACAGCGGATTTAAACTGCCACCTGCAACACCAGTATCCCAGAGGAGCACTGGTTCAAGTCCTGGATGCTCCATTTCCAAACCAGCCCCATGCTAATATGCCTGGGAAAAGCAGCGGAAGATGGCCCACCTACTTGGACCCCTGCCACCCATGTGGGAGACACAGGTGAAGCTCTTGGCTCCTGGCTTTCGGCTTTGGCCTGGCCCAGTCCCAGCCATTAGAGCCATTTGGGGAGTGAACCAGCAGGTGGAAAATACACCTCTCTCTCTCTCTCTCTCTCTCTCTCTCTCTCTCTCTTTCTGCCTTTCAAATAAATAAATAAGTCCTTAAAAAAAAGAAGAACAATAACAACGAGGGCAGGATGGATGCTGTGAACAGGAAATCTCTGTACCCGGGAGACTGGAAAGAAGAAACCTGGGTACTAAGTGATGCAAGGCTGTGCAAGTGTCCCCTGGCACAGATTCTCAGGGGAAGGCAGGCAGGCCAGATTCCAGCCAAGCATGCACAGTTCAAGTAATGCACCATGGAGCTCTGCCAGAGAACTCGGAGCTTTTCTTCTTGGTGATTTTCTGACTGACTTGAATATCCTAAGAAAGAGGATCTGAAAGTAGAAATTCACCTGAACCTGTTTGCTCAGGAAATGAACCAGGAAGGGAAATGCTCCAGTCACTGAGGCAAGGGCAGGGGCTGTGTTGTTCTCTCTGTGTGGCCACTGTACCAGGGTCCGGCATTCTATGCACATGTTCTGACCTAATCAATAAGCTTGAATATTCTTTCACACAAATCTTAACCACTGGGCTCGTCTCTAACATGGGTTATCTTTCTTCCTTCAAGAACGCGTGCCAGGTGCTTCTGAAACGCCTGGAGCCCATCATTAAAAAAAATCCAGACGGTTCATGGAAGGACTGGGTGAGTGTTCCACTCCGTTACTACAGATGAGAAAAGCAAAGCAGACCAGTGCTGAGAGGGCACCAAAGGGCACAGCCACCCCAGGTAGAGACAGTTCCTCTCAGTCCCTAGCCCAATGATAAGCCATGCCCCAAGCTTCTTCCCCAGCTGAGTGGATTTCCGCGAAAGGACTGAGTCACAAGAAGTTGAGAAGGCTGCTGCAGGATGTACACTGGGCATATACAGCGAGAGCACACAGGAAACAGCAGTCACGGGGAGGAACAGAAGTCTGCAAAAGTATCCAGAAAGTCTCACCCACTGTGCTTAGGTAGAAAAGAGGGAGAAACACTTGTGCCTTCCTAATGCACAAAAGGATACTGAAGCTTCAGGTAGGGATGAGGGAAACTAAAAGGCCTCATTGCTATCAAATGCCTCAGAGGAAGTGATTCACTAAATCTACCTTTATAATATCCTACATTATTTCTTTAGAGCAATAAATTCATACTTCTTTTCTAAAGTTCTAACGTTTGAGAATGAAGCCTCAGATAACTTGTGAATCAAGCCCCTTTACCACAGATTATGTAGCAGGATTTCAGTTTCTTTCTGTTCAATCCAAACGTCCGAACTCAATCAGAAAGAAACTGGCAGCACGCCAGCTAAGGAAGCCCACGGGAGGGTGGACTCTGTCACGGATAGCAAAGCACCAGAAACAATGGCAGAATATTTTCATTTTTACCCATAAGATGATGCATTTGTTTTGACTAAATGTGCGCATTCTACAGATTGGAGCTGCATTCGAGAAACGAATCAGTCTCTCAGCCACTGGATATTTCAGGTAAAAATTACAATAATGTCTTGACTTAGTTAAGAAAATAATGAGGTAACCCACTCAGTCCAGGTCTCAGTTCTCTTATTTGTAAAGTGAGTTTTTATTATGTGACTACTGAGGTTCTTTCTGGTCTAAAAATTTTGTGATTTCATATAGGCCTTTGCATCATGACCAAAGGAATATTAAATCATAAAAATGCCCAATTAGGCCAAAAAAAAAAAAAAGAAAAAAACCTGACTTGGATGTGCAACATCTAATCATTATTTTCTATTCTCTAGTGTGAGTGGTAAAAAGACACTATCATTAGAAATAAATGGCAGCTCCACAAATCTCCCTCCCTTTACCATAAAACCTTTTTTTGTTTTGAAGCCCTTTGCTGGGCAGGAGGATAATTACCCGTCATTCCTGGAACATCTGTGAGCGAGAGGCCTGCAGGAAATGAGGCTGACTGAGCGGAGCACATAGAGAAGAGCGGATGGTCAAATTCAAGAAGCATAGGACATTAGTTTATAGTACAAGGAAACTACCCACACACACACACACACACACACACGTAGCAGTACAGCGAGTCCTCGTGAGAAGAGGAAGGAAGGAGGGAAACTGACAGCCTGGGGCCTTGCACCTGTTGAGCTCTGCCTGCTTCAGTTCAGTTCTGCATAAAGAGAGCAAAATTGAGCTCTGAGGACAACCTCCATTAGCAATGAATGCATTGCGGCACTAGCTCTTTTTTTTTTTTTAAACAGCCCCCTGTGCTGTGAGTTTAGTTATCATTGTTTTAGGGATTCCTCTGGGAACACAGAAAATTCAGCTAGAGTTCTCAGTGTGTAGACAGGACTAAAGCTCAAACCCCAGCCCACCAAGATAGCGGTGCACTGGGAAGTCTGAGCCAACACAGCAAGCTGGCTTCTCCCTCTTTTGCACCCTCACTGCTGGACCAGGGGTGCCCTTGTTACTATGCAGGCAGATGATGCGCAGCTGGGATGCAAGTTCAGGGTGGCTGTGAAAATGGGTTTCATTTTTATTTTATTTTTATTTTGACAGGCAGCGTGGACAGTGAGAGAGAGAGACAGAGAGAAAGGTCTTCCTTTGCCGTTGGTTCACCCTCCAATGGCCACCGCGGCCGGCGCACTGTGCCGATCCGAAGCCGGGAGCCAAGTGCTTTTCCTGGTCTCCCATGGGGTGCAGGGCCCAAGCACTTGGGCCATCCTCCACTGCACTCCCTGGCCACAGCAGAGAGCTGGCCTGGAAGAGGGGCAACCAGGACAGAATCCGGCACCCCGACTGGGACTAGAACCCCGTTTGCCGGCGCCGCTAGGTGGAGGATTAGCCTAGTGAGCCGCGGCACCAGCCCGAAAATGGGTTTCAAATGAACGCTGATCAAATGAAAGGCTATCGTGAAACCTCAATACTGTTTTAAATAAATCAACATTATTTATCCCTTCCACCACCAAACTAAAGGCCTTTATTTCTTTGCTCAGGGGTTACAAGGCCTTCATGGACTGGGACAAGGGGGAAGGGGACCCGTTCCCCTACTACGTCTACGGAGCCTCCTGCTCAGAGGTGGAAATCGACTGCCTGACAGGCGCTCACAGAGTAAGTCAAGTCTAACTTTCCTCTGGGCAAGTTCAAACCACAACAACAAAACTGCACTGTGCAGGAAGTAGCCCGGGGCCATGATGCAATACCACAAGAGTCTTTCGATGTCATGGCAATGTCCCGCGTTCAGGCCTTATTCTGAATCTCCACTTAAAAAGACAATGCACTGATCCAGTAGGAAGTGTGCCCGGCAACCTAAAAGGGATTACAAAACATTCTCTTCTTAAAGGAAGGGCAACTTGTGTGAAATAGTCTTGAGCGAACACTTTGCACGGTGCTAATATGTCCCAAAAGTCGCTTATCCCAAGGGTACCTCTAACCTCTAAGGAAGTAGATGGTGGTGGGGGAGGGAGGTGACAGAATGTTTGTGCTTGCTGTTCAATGGAGCATTCAGGAAGCACCTATTGGAGACAGGGAGTCATGTTTAACCCACAGTTAGTGACTTGCGACATAAAGGATAAACCCGCCCATACACCCCAGGTGCCATGCTGGGGAACAGAGATGATAGGAACTTAAATAGGATAGAGCAAAACCCACGGTAGAGTAAATTGTTTGAAGTCTACAGAATGCACCCATGACGTATCTAAATTCCATACACAAATGATTCCAACATCATCTCGAGCCACCTTGCCCCAAAATAGAAATGATCAACTTTTTTTGTAAAAACTGACAAATGGAACTTACCAAAATGTCTTTCATTGCCCCGTTGTTGGTCAACTCTGCTACCACTTAATTTATAAGTAAGATTTAAAAAAAAAAAGTGACTGAAAGGGTATCTTGGGGCTGGCGCTGTGGCTCACTAGGCTAATCCTCCACCTTGTGGTGCCGGCACACCGGGTTCTAGTCCCAGTTGGGGTGCCGGATTCTGTCCTGGTTGCTCCTCTTCCAGGCTAGCTCTCTGCTGTGGCCTGGGAGTGCAGTGGAGGATGGCCCAAGTCCTTGGGCTCTGCACCCAATGGGAGACCAGGAAAAGCACCTGGCTCCTGGCTTTGGATCAGTGCGATGCGCTGTTCGCGGCGGCCATTGGAGGGTGAACCAACGGCAAAAGGAAGACCTTTCTCTCTGTCTTGTCTATTCTTTCACTGTCCACTGTGCTGTCCAAAAGATTACAGAAAAAAAAACAACACCGATATCTTGGAGCAGTTGCCCTTATATCCCATTCAAATTCATCCTTAGGACATGTTAATATTGTCTCTAATTTTAAGTTAGATCATTTCTTCTTTTTTTTTTTTTTAATAGAGTTAGACAGTGAGAGAGAGAGACAGAGAGAAAGGTCTTCCTTCCATTGTTTCACCCCCCAAATGGCCTCCACGGCTGGCGCTGCACCGATCCGAAGCCAGGAGCCAGGTGCTTCCTCCTGGTCTCCCATGCAGGTGCAGGGGTCCAAGCACTTGGGCCATCCTCCACTGCCTTCTTGGGCCACAGCAGAGAGCTGGACTGGAAGAGGAGCAACCAGGACTAGAACCCCGGTGCCCATATGGGATGCTGGCGTCGCAGGCAGAGGACCAGTGAGCCACGACGCTGGCCCAGGTTAGATCATTTTCAAGAAGTAAACTTGTGGAGCTGGTGCTGTGTCATAGCAGGTAAAACCACTGCCTGCTGTGCCGGCATCCCATATGGGTGCCATTTCCAGTCCTGGCTGCTCCACTTCTGATCCAGCTCCCTGCTAATGTGCCTGGGAAAGCAGTGGGAGATGACCCAAATCCTTGGACCCCTGCACCCATGTGGGAGACCCAGAAGGAGCTCCTGGCTTCTGATTGGCCCAGCTCTGGCCATTGCGACCCTTTGGGGAGGGAACCAGCTGATGGAAAACCTCTCTCTCTCTCTCTCTCTCTCTCTGCCTCTGCCTCTGCCTCTCTGTAACTCTGCCTTAAATAAATATTAGAAAAAAAGAAAGAAGTAAACTTGTGTGATCACAGATTGCTCATGATTATTTTAAAATCATGATTGCTAGTGTTTTGCACATCATTGCATACATCGCTAATGATAATATCTGCATGGCATGGTGTAGCCAACAAAGAAGCCATGGATGGTAGCAGGCAATAAGCCTGAGAGTCCTGCCAGGATCTCAGCACACCTACAACTGGTTTGAGGCTAGGAAGCTGTTTTCTGACCCTCCACCATACCAGTTATATTGCCAGATTTAGCAAATAAAAATATAGAGGGTGGACATTTGGGTGCAGTGGGGTAAGCCACTGTGTGGGTGCATCCCATCTTGGAGTGCCAGTTTGAGTCCTGGCTGCTTCACTTCCAATCTAGCTTCCTACTGATGTGCCTGGAAAGAAGCAGATGATGGCTCAAGTACTTGGGTTGCTTCCACCCATGTGGGAGACCAGGAGAGGGTTCTTGGCTCCTGGCTTTGAGGAGGCTGAGCCTTGGCTATTGTGGCCATCTGGAGAGTGAAGCAGCAGATGGAAGATCAAACTCTCTGTGTCTCTGTCTGTCTCTGTCTCTCTCTCATGTTCAAATAAATAAGTAAATCTTTAAAAAATACAAGAATATTTCAAAAAGTTTTTTAAAACATAAAAAAATAAAAATACAGGATGTCCAGTTAAATTTGAGTGTCAAATAAACAACAAATAATGTTCTGGTATTTATGTGTCCCATGTAATATTTAGAAAATAGTTATTTTGGCCGGCGCCGCGGCTCACTAGGCTAATCCTCCGCCTTGCGGCACCGGCACACCGGGTTCTAGTCCCGGTTGGGGCACCAGATTCTGTCCCGGTTGCCCCTCTTCCAGGCCAGCTCTCTGCTGTGGCCAGGGAGTGCAGTGGAGGATGGCCCAGGTGCTTGGGCCCTGCACCCCATGGGAGACCAGGAAAAGCACCTGGCTCCTGGCTCCTGCCATCGGATCAGCGCGGTGTGCCGGCCGCAGCGCGCCGGCCGCGGCGGCCATTGGAGGGTGAACCAACGGCAAAGGAAGACCTTTCTCTCTGTCTCTCTCTCTCACTGTCCACTCTGCCTGTCAAAAAAAAAAAAAAAAAAAGAAAAGAAAAAAGAAAATAGTTATTTTGTCTGTCAATTAAACCTGAGAGCCTCAGGCTTTGTAGGGATCTAGCAAAATTGATGATGAAAGAAATGGTAAAAACTTGTCTTCCTTGTGCCTTTCAGGTTATTTACAGTTTAAGGTTTCAATATCACTCTGTCCCCTTAAAACAGTTTATCTCTGGGGACAGACATCTTATCTAGTGTTTAAGGTATAGTTTGGCCATATCTCATATGGAATACCTGGGTGCTCTGCTCCTAATTCCAGTTTCCTGCTAATGCACACCCTGGGAGGCATCAGGTGATGGCCCAAGTAGTTGGGTGCCTGACACCCATATGCGAGACCTGGATTGAATTCCTGGCTCCCAGCTCCATCCTGGCCTAGCCCTGGCTATTGCGTGAATTTGTGGAGAGAATCAGCATCTCTCTCTCTCTCTCTCTCTCTCTTCCATCTGTTGATCACTCCCCAAATGCCAGCAACAGCCAAGGCTGGGCCAGGCTGAAGCCAGTGGTAGCCTGGATCCCAACCCAAGTTACCCACATGGGTGGCAGGGTCCTAAGTTCGTGAGCCACCACCTGCTGCCGCCCAGTGGTGCATTACAGGAAGCTTGATTGGACAAGGAGCCAGGACTCTAATCAGACACTCCATTATAGGAGCATCCCAAGTGATGACATAACTGCTGGGCCAAACACTGCCCCCATATCTTCTAATTAAAGAGAAACCAGAGAACTTAAATGGCAGGCTTCTTGCTGCAGGTTGTTTGTTTGGTGAACTAAAGTATTTGTGTATTCAGTGTTAGTGCACAGCCATTTCTTTCTGCTACCCAACACCCATAATGCAGTACATGCCAGGTTCCAAGATAGAAGTAAGTTGAAGGCCCACTGGAGAGGTATCCAACCCCCTTGCCCATGCGGATAGAGGCTGGATACAGACTGGGTCCAACAGTCAGCATAGTTTGTTTGAGAGGCCAATTTGAGTGGAAAGAGAACTGCCAAATCCAAAGGCCTAAGTAGACAGTAAAAGCCTGGGCCCTGAGCCTGAACAGAGAATGGTGATGTTCCCAGAATAAGCACAGTGGGCAGTGTGGGGACAGAAGGGAAGCCCAGAGATATGCCCGGGGTGGGTCAGAGGCCCTGAGAAGCTTCCTGTGGCTCCTTAGCAAGAAGACAGAAGGGCTGGAAGAGTGTGGTTCTCAGAGAAGGAAGCAGACGGGCCAAGTCGAAGGTGATCTCAACATTTTCCCATGCTGCCTTCCAAGATCTTGCAAATCCCCAAATTCATGCACACCATGATAGCTACCTGATTTCCTCAGTACAGTAGCCACAAGTCCACCTACATGAGGCCATCACGAGGACTAGATGAGCTCATGACTTCTACTCTTTTTAGAACAACAAATCTGGGTTGAGAAGCAGAGGAACCACAAGACTCAATGATTTACCAAGTGACTCACTATAGAGACCAACAGCTCCTGGACTTTGGAGTCACTTAGAGGGGTCAAAACCATGCATGCAGAAGTCACGGTTGTGGCACTGAATGTGGAGCACCTAGCAGATGGTGACAGGGTTCTATGCAGTATTAATGAACCAGCAGGAGTTCTACCATAACTGGAGACCACTTGAGTCATTCTTTAAATATTTAATCCAAGTGTCTATGGATTTTTGGTTTTGACAGAAAATCAGAACGGACATCGTCATGGATGCATGTTGCAGTCTAAATCCAGCTATTGACATTGGGCAGGTAGGCCCACTTAGGTTAATGCCCCTTCCTGAGGGAGGGTGTGGGATGGGAAAAGTCCTTCTCAAATGGATACAGTGTCAGCATATTAGTCAGCTCTTCGTTACTACAAGGAAATGCCTGAGACAGGCCACTTAGGAAGAAAAGAGGTCTATTCTGGCTCCTGGTTTTAGAGGTTCAAGTTTAAGATCAGGCAGGCCCCATTAGGCTGGGCCTGATGTGTGTGGACGGAGGATCACAATGAGCCAGGAAGCAGAGAAGCTAAGGCAAACTCAGCTTCAATAAACAACTGTCCCTGGAGAACTACCTTCCAATAGCAATCCACCAGTGGCCTAAAGGCCTTGCACTGGGCAGATCTCCTAAATGCCATCAGTAGATCAACTCGGCAGCCTTAATCCATTAGACATTAACAGCAGATTTTGGGGACCAAAACCCCAATACGTGGACCTTTGAGGGACACCCAAACTATTATTCATGACACATGTATAGTATACATCCCTGCCTCTCAGTATAAAGCCACGAGGACACAATTATGGGGCTGCACCCTAACAATCTAACTTGATCTCAACCACTTCCCAGCGCCATGATTGGATTAAATGTCCACCTGCTTGGCACCATTAACCTAAGATGCTGGGGACTGAACTCCTGGCTTCTGGGTGGGGCAGGGAGGGTTCAAATACTCAAACCACACAAGTCACAGAGCCTGCAATTGTCCCCCTTCAGATCGAAGGTTCCTTCATTCAGGGAATGGGCCTTTACACCACCGAAGAGCTGCACTACTCCCCCGAAGGCATCCTTCTGTCTCGGAGCCCGAATGAGTACAAAATTCCAACCGTCACTGATGTCCCGGAGGTGTTTAATGTCTCCCTCTTGCCATCATCCCAAACCCCGCTGACCATCTATTCATCCAAGGTAAGTACTCCCACCTGCTCCCGGCCCCTGTAATGGATCGGGGGGCACAGTAAATGGAAGTCAATGGACAAAATAAAAAATAAATGTGGACTGTGACCCAGACCAGATCATGGGAGACTGCTCAAATTTGGAGCTGAATCAGCTAGGAAAAGCACTGAGCTTCAGGAAAGATGAGTTCACGCCCAGTGGCTGTCACTGGCCAGCATTTTATTAACATCCTCTTTCACAGAAAGCTCTGACATTCATCAGAGATTTTTTTTGCTTCTTAGTAGCATAACATTTTTCACTGAAGGACCTAAAGACTGCAAAAGTAAATGGAGCTGAGGGCAGGATGCCACCAAAATCTTAGAAAGCGGTGACCATGTGGACAGAACCCTGGACTGGGGCCTCAGGTGACCTGGGCTCCTGCCCCAGCCCCGCAACCCTGCTGTCTGGAGCCTCAGACCCTCAGCCACGCCCAGGAGTGAACTAGGGCAGTGGGTCTCAGCAGGGAGTGTGATTCTGCCGCACCCCCACCCCCCAAAGACTATTTGGCAATGTCTGGTGACATTTCTGATGGTCGTGACCGGGGATATAGGAAGCAGTTACAAATGGTTAGCGGTCAGGAGCGTAGCTAAGCAGCCCTCAGTACCCTACAACAAAGATAGCCCAGCACAAAACACTGGGAGTCTCAGGAGGCCCAGACATCAACCCTTAATGGAGCTGCAAATTGGAATAAAGGGCAGGCTTGTTTGCACACGAGCCCCACCCTCAGAGTGGAAATTGCATGTAACTTTGATGCCTCGTGTTTAAGTGTGCTGAACAATGGGTTTGCAGGTCCGCCGTGAGGTGCACCGTGCAATAGTTACAGAACCCACCAGGCACCAGCTTTGACCCTCACAACACCCTGTGAGGTCGACAGCATTGCATTTGTTTTGCTGACAAGGAATAGAGGATCAGCGAGGGGCTCTCACACCCCGGGGAGCAGCTCAAGTTCTATGGGCCAGGGTTCAGGCTCGGTCTCTCCAGTTCAGGGTTGCATACAGGGGGCTGTTGGCCAAATCCAGCCTGAAGATCTATTTCCTTGACCTACACAGTGTTTTTTTAAAAATCAGGGCATTTTACATTAAAGTCTAAATGTCTAAATTCTCTTGAAAAAAATGGAATGATTTTGTCATTTTGATACATTCCTGGAAGGCGACATTTAGCCAGAACCAAAGAACAGCTCTGTCCTTTAGGTAGGACATGGGTGAATCTCTACTTCACCTTAGTCCCCACTACTCCTTACTGTACTCCATGTGCTCACATCATTCACTTACATTTCCTGCCTGTTCCTTGCAGATGATGAGTTTGCAACCTCGCTCCGATAACAAAGTCTACTCTTTCATTTAGAATACCCTGCCTTCCATCACCCCAGACTCCTAATGAGACATTTTTCTCTTGGTTTATGAAGTTGGCTGGTTCAATTGATTGAATGTTCTCTACTAAATAGCATACCTTTCCCTCACCCTACTCTCTCTCTCTTTCTCTCTCTCTCTTTCCTAAAAGATTTAACCCAGACAGGATTAAAGATCCAGGAAGTTCAGGTGACTGGAATTTTTAAGAATACTTGAGCTTCGTCGGTCATTAAGTCAGTCAGCTAACATTTTTTGAAAACTTTTTGTGTGCAAGACACAGTGCTTTGGGTTGGGGACACAATGGTGAACACAACTTAACCCTGCCCTGTAGTAGCTTGTCATCTGATATAGAAGCTTCTAAACAAATGTGTGTTCCTGCAGGGCCTCGGAGAGTCTGGAATGTTCCTGGGGTCCTCTGTCTTCTTTGCCATTGCCGACGCAGTGGCGGCAGCACGCAGAGAAAGAGACATGGCCGAGGACTTCACGGTGACGAGCCCAGCCACGCCGGAGCGGGTTCGGATGGCCTGTGCAGACCGCTTCACAGAAATGGTATGCACATATTTATTTTTCCACAAGATCTATTTGTCTCTTTCCTGATTCTTAGATCTCTTGGGCAAAAGGATCACCAAACTGTAGCGGTGTGTGCCTCCATAAAAGCAAACCACACAGCCAAGCCCACCTTGCCGCAGTGCAGTAATGCTAACTCTTGAAAAGCATCCCCATGTGTTAAGTCGCTCATCGCAACACCCTGAAGGAGGGCCCTTTGTCGTGCTTAGAGACTGACAGCTAACTGGGAAGCAGCCTGCTTCCTCCACGCTGGTGACCGTGTTCCCCCCGCCCCGCCCCATCCGACCGGCCCTGCCCCTGCACTTCAACAAAACACACACCGAAAGAGCCCATGTGTCAAGCATGTTCGTAATGTCACTCCGCGTGTTCCCTCCACTAATGTAGCGCCTACACTGTCTGCCGTCAGTTAGAAGTGAAGGGATTCGTACCCAGCTGCCACCTTCCCGCTTCATCTCATCGCAGGACAACGCCTCCTGGGAGAGGAGACAAGACTGTGGAGTCATCACCCTCAGGGCAGCGCCTGGGAGGGTCTGGAGTCTACTGTGGCTAATTTCCCAAAAGAATCCTGACTTAAATAATAATAGCAGGGAATAGCAAGGGCAAGTGCTGTGGCACAGTGGGTTGAGCTGCCACCTGCGGCACCCGCATCCCATATGGGCGCTGGCTAGAGTCCTGGCTGCTCCACTTCCCATCCAGCTCCCTGCCGATAGTCTGAGAAAGCAGTGGAAGATGGGTCAGGTGCTTGAGCCCCTGCATCCATGTGGGAGATGGGGAAGAAGCTCCTGCCTCCTGGCTTCAGATCGGCACAGCTCCAGCCATTGCAACCATTCAGGGAGTGAACCAGTGGGTGGAAGACCTCTCCCTGTCTCTCCCTCTCTCTGTCTATAACTCTGCCTGGCTAAGATTTGAACCCACACTGCCTGTCGCCATCACATAGTACCCTGCCTCTCCAAGAGAAAACAACTGATGCTTTTCCTGCAAGGCAATTTATCTTTTCATCTCTCTATTAAAAGAAGCCCAGATACTTAACTGACCTCTTCAGAATAGCCAGCCCAGGGGCCAGCATTTCACACAGCCAACTGACCCATCTTCCACTGCTTTCTCAGACTATCAGCAGGGAGCTGGATCAGAAGTGGAGAAGCCGGGACTCAAATTGGCGCCCATAAGGGATGCGGGTGCTGCAGGTGGCAGCTCAACCCACTGCGACACAGCACTTGCCTCTGCTATTCCCTGCTATTATTATTTAAATCAGGATTCCTTTGGGAAATTAGCTACAGTAGGCTCCAGACCCTCCCAGGTGCTGCCGTGAGGGTGATGACTCTACAGTACCCCATACCCCAGTGCCTAGGTTTGAGTTCCGACTCCGCTTCTGAATCCAGCTGCCTGCGGATTCATAACCTGAGAGGCACAAATGATGGCTCAGATACTTGGGTCCCTGCCACCCATGGGGGAGACCTGGATGGAGCTCCAGGCTCCTGGCTTTGACCTGATCCAGCCCTAGCTGTTGGGGGCATTTGAGGAGTGAACTATGCCTTTCAAATAAATGAAAATAGGCCAGCACCACGGCTCACTTGGCTAATCCTCCGACTGCGGCGCCAGCACCCCGGGTTCTAGTCCCTGTTGGGGCGCCAGATTCTGTCCCAGTTGCACCTCTTCCAGTCCAACTCTCTGCTGTGGCCCGGGTCCTTGAGCCCTGCACCATCATGGGAGACCAGGAGGAAGCACCTGGCTCCTGGCTTCGGATCGGCGCAGCGCGCCGGCCATAGCAGCCACTTGGGGGGGGGGGGTGAACCAATGGCAAAAGGAAGACCTTTCTCTCTGTCTCTCTCTCTCTCTCACTGTCTAACTCTGCCTGCCAAAAAAAAATAATAATAAAATAAAATAAATAAATGAAAATAAATAATTTTTTAAAATTATATTTAAAATAAAATAGCCAGCCCTAGAGTGAAAAATCGTATAGATATATTGCATTACAATTCCCCACCTTCTTCTCCCTACATCTCAAATTTAACTCAACAGCATTGCTTGTATTCCAGTAGTGCTGATCAGCCTGTGATCTGACACTCACGTCCACAGCAATGATGGGCAGCTCCTGGCCAGGTCCTCCTCAGTGGGCGGGGCCAGGCGATGGCACGCTGCACCCTCCGAGCTGGTTTGGTCTGGGAGGGTTGTTGACTGCCCACTCCTCACTGTACTCATGACATGGTAATGGGGGAACCGTGTCATCTCACACCCTAAGAACGAAAGCAAAAGTACTCTGAGCTTAAAAAAAAAAAGTTGTCAATCATATTTTGTGATCATAAATGCCCTTTCTGGAATGGGGCGGATTAGAAAAATTAAAAAAAAAATAACACCATGAAAAGATATTTCTAATTTTCATTTCATTTCATGTTCTTCCAAAGGCCTGGCTGCTAGAAAATCAATTCTTTCATTTCCTAGATTTCAGGCCATTTTTAATAGCACTGTTGTCTGACAAAGCAGCTCTGTCCGATGCAGTGGTGGAAGTGAATACTTCGATTTCATTCACCATTTGGGACTCGGTGTCCTGGCTACCAGGCCCTTGTAGTGAAACTGGATTTTCTCCCAAGTCTTTAAGCAAGTATGCTTGATTAAACTAACTTAACATAAATCTAATCTGCTAATTGTACACTGATTGATTAAATTGTCAGATTCCATGTAAAAGTGATCTCATATCTTCTAAAATACTCCTAAGTGGATTCATGGTTTCAAAATACCACTTCATGTGATAATCTATGTTTGATATTTTAAATGCCATCTTAATAACCTGTGTTGCAGATTGTCTTTACAAAAGTAATGCATGTGCATGATAGAAAAATTAGAAAATGCGAAAAAGTATAAGATTAAAGTTAAAATAAGCCATAATCCTACCAACTAGAGCTAGCTACAACCATTTGCAGGGCAGGGCAAGGCAGGACAGAGCAGAAGTGGTATTTAGGGGACTTCAAAATGGAGAATAAAAAGATTAAAAGATAAATTTATTTTGGTGCAAAAGTTTCTGAGATCCATGCATACAAGGAGTCTTCAAAAAGTTCATGGAAATATGCATTATTAAACCATGCATGAATTTCACAAAATTTTTGCACCAAAATAAGCTTTTTTATTTAATTAATTAATTTATTTGAGAGGCAGAGAAACAGAGAACAAAAGACAAATTCTCCCATCCTCTAGTTTACTCTCCAAATGTCCATAATTGCCAGTATGGCCAGGCCAAAGCCAGGAGCTAGAAACTCAATCTGGTGTCCCACATGATGGCAACAACCCAAACACCTGAGCCATCATCTTCTGCCTCCCAGGATGCGCATTAACAGAAAGCCAGAATTGGGAGCAGAACCAAGGACTCCAACCCAGCACCCCATGATGGGATGTGGTAAGCACAGATCTGGTGAAAAGAGTAGGAAATGGAAATGGGTTTGGAAGAGATTAAAAGTCCCATTCCCAGTACAGGAGTTGACCTGAGTATCCTGCAGACTGGACTGAGGTGTTCTGTCCAGCATCCAGCCCTGCTGGGGGGAACAGGCTGGCCCCAAGAATGCAGTCAGGCTTCTTACCCAGGAGCAGCTAAGAGGAGAACAAGGGCAGGCACTTGAAGAAGGGGAGCCTGCCCCCCACACACACACACACTTACATTTCAGTACAGACTGAGAGCTGACAGTAAGGACACAATGTATGAAGAAATCCTGAATGGTAGGATTTTTTTTTAAGACTTTATTTATTTATTTGAGAGACAGAGCCACAGATAGAGAGAGAGAGGTGTCTTCCATATGCTGGTTCACTTCCCAAGTGGCCGCAATGGCCGGAGCTGAGCTGATGCAAAGTCAGGAGCCAGGAACTTCTTCCAGGTCTCCCATGCAGGTGCAGGGGCTCAACCTTTGGGCCATCTTCTACTGCTTTCCCAGGCCATAACAGAGCTTGATTGGAAGTGGAGCAGCCGGGATTCGAACCAGCTCCCATATGGGATGACGGCACTGCAGGAGGCAGCTTTACCCACTAAGCCACAGTGCTGGCCCTGTGAACAGTAGGATTTGGTTAAATTTTTTGTCTTTGTGTGTGTATGAAATAAATAAATATTAGGATATAAAAGGTTTTTTGGAATCGTCATAGCTCTCCAACACTGTAAAGATGTTGGTTTTGTTTTTAACACCTCTGTCAATAAAGGTCAACCTTTCAAACAAAAACGTGGCAACGGGGAGGGGAGGGATGTGTGTTCTGCTTCAAGATCAAACACAACAGGCAGAATTCCCAGCAGAAACAAGCATGAGGGATCACAAGGAAGAAGGTAAATAAGAGACATCTTTTTTCTTTTTTGAGAGACAGAGTTACATTGGGGGATGGGGGGAGACAGAGAGAGGTCTTCTATCAGCTGGTTCACTCCCCAAATGGCCGCAACAGCAAGAGCTGGGCAAATCTGAAACTAGGAGCCAGGAGATTCTTCTAGGTTTCCCATGCGAGTCCAGGGGCCCAAGCACTTGGCCGTCTTCCACTGGTTTCACAGGCTAGAAGCAGGGAGCTGGATTGGAAGAGGAGCAACCAGGACCTGAACTGGCGCCCATATGGGATGCTAGTGCCACAGGCAGAGGGTTACTCTTCTATGCCACAGCACCAGTCCTAGTAAGAGACATCTTAACTGCTAAGCCAAAGGCTCACCCTAAATTTATCTTTCATTTTTTAATTAAGACCACCCTGGTCACCCACATGGGTGGCAGAGACCCAAGTAATCAGGGCCATCTTCCTCTGCCTTCCCAGGTGCATTAGCAGGAAGCTGAATTGGAAGCAGAGCAACCAGGACTCTAAACTTCACTCTTGTGGGAAGTCAGCATTGCAAGTAGCAGCTTAACCTGCTACATCAAAACATAGACCCCTAAACTTATCTTTAATTCCAGAAGTTCTTTTAAAGTGCCCCTTTACATACTCAAGTACACACTTTTAATCATTTTTAATTCATATATGTTTATATGTATATATTATTTGTAATGCCTATGTTATAAAATTGGAATATCCCTTACAAAAATCTTTGAAAAGATTTGACCCCAGCGTAAGTGGGAGTGGTACTGCTGAGCTTTCGATCACAGGAAACTTGGAATGGGAAAATATACTTTCCTGCAAAACATCACTCAAAAAACAGTTGCCTAGGGCTGGCATTGTTGTCTGGTGTGTTAAGTCACTTGCAAAGTCAGCATCCAACACTGGAATGCTGGTTTGAGTTCCTGCTGCTCTGCTTCCCAGCCAGCTCCCGGCTAAGGTGCCCGGGAAAGCAGTGGAAGATAACCCCAGTAGCTGGGTCCCTGCCACCCACCCGGGTGGAGTTCCAGGCTCCCTGGCCTGGCCAACCCTGGTCATTGTGGCCATTTGGGGAGTGAACCGGGGAATGGAAGATCCTCTGTTTGTCTCTCTTCCTCTCTCTGCCATTATGCCTTTCAAAAAAAAAAAAAAAAGAAAAAAGAAAAAGAAAGAAAGATGTGGCGGGGTGGGACCAGAAATACACACACTAAAGCTTTTTCTGCTATTTCCTGCTGCAGGAAATGGTGCTACTTGTCTGTCCATATACCAGCATGAAGGGGAAACCCAGGAGCCAGCCTAGCGTTTCTCTCCTCACACCCAGCAGCCAGTCCTCCCCCGCATGAATCTTACTCCCTGACAACGTCTTGGACCAGTCCCTGTCCTGCATTCCTAACCACTTGCATCCATTCCACTAACATTTGCTCTACAGAACAGTGCTGGGAACTCAGCAGTGAGTGCAACAGGGAGCCCTGCCTTTGCACATCTGTCTAGTAATCCTACAGCCAACTCTCTTCTCTGGCCTGCGGCAGAGCAGCCTCCTAACTGGTCTCCCCACAGCTCCTGCAGCCAGAGACTTGCGGTGTGACCAAGGGGACTTCCACACAAAGCACAAGATCAAACTTCCTAACGCACCTTGCCCAGCCTATAAAACAAAGTCCAGCACAGCCCGGCCCCACCCACCTCTCCAACCACACGTGGACCCCACCCTACCAACCGCCTCTCCCCCGGGGCAGGCTCACCTTCTGTCTGTTCCTCTGTGGAAGACAGGGTGGCTCACTCCTGCTCCGGGCCATGGCCACTCTCTTCCCTCTCCTCCAAGTAACCCCCACTCACCTTTCCTGTTATAATCAAATCCATCACCTTAATTTGATACCTTTCTTTCAGCCTGGTTTGCGGATGATGATGAACCAAATGTGTGAGTTGTCTCTCAAGGAGTTTACCATCTTGTAGGGGAGGAAGAAACACTGCAAATGATAAGTGTTTGGCTGGTGCTAGGTTATCCCACTGTGACCACAGAGCAAGACTTTTATAACTAAGCTTTACTCTTTTCTTGAAGGCAGGGGTCATAGAGGAGGTCTACGAAAGACTAAGAACAGATTTCAAAATCTTTTTCTAGCAGCGCGCAGCTTATTAAATAAATGAGAGGCATGATATATGATACATAACTCATAATCAGTTTTGCATCAAAATATCCTTTTCTTTTTAACTTTTTTTAACTCTAAACTTGTATGTATTTATTTGAGAAGCAGAGAGAGAGACAGATAAAGAGAACTTTCCCGTCCACTGGTTCACTCCCCAAATGCCTGAAATGGCCAGGGCTGAGGCAAGGCAGGAACACAGAGCCAGGATCTCAATCCAAGCCCCGCCCCCCACGGGCTGCCCGTGCTGTTACTTGAGCCATCACCACTGCCTCCCAGGCTCTGCATTAGCCAGAAGCTGGAGTCAGGAGTCAGAGCAGGGTACTGGACCGAGGCTCTCTGATGCAGTACATCGATGTCTTAACCAGCAGGCCAAACACCTGCTCCCGAAAACTCATCAATAACTCCCATTTTCCACAACTTTCTGAGGTACTCTGTGGCCTGACACCAACCCTCTTTAATGTATCTCGGGACAAAGCTGAGCTCATCTCAGAATTTACATTTTTAAATACATTTGACTGACTACATGTTTTTTAATTGAAATATATGATGATTCACACCATGCTGTAGCATGCAAAAAAAATTTTTTTTTACTAACACTCTTTATACTTGGCTTGTCAAAACACAGCTTGGGGCAGGTGCTGTGACATAGTGGGTAAGGCCACTGTCTGCAGTGCCAGCATCCCATGTGGGCTCCAATTCAAGTCCTGGCTGCTCCACTTTCGGTCCATCTCTCTGCTATGGCCTGGGAAAGCAGGATGGAGGATGGCCCAAGTCCTTGGGCCCCTGAACCCATGTGGGAGACCTGAAAGGAGCTCCAAGCTCCTGGCTTCAGATCAGCCCAGCTCTGGCCGTTGCAGCTGTTTGGGGGCTAGGCCAGCAGATGAAAGATCTCTCTCTCCCTCTCTCTCTCTCTCTCTCTCTCTCTCTGCCTCTGCCTCTCTGTAACTGTGCCTTTCAAATAAATAAATAAATCTTAAAAACAACACAGATTGTTCTGAGTAAGAAGGCTGGGGAGCTGTGTATTAGAGCATGAACATTGGAAAGTTTAAAACTCTCCTTTAATAACCTCCTCATAGCCATAAGGTAAATGACAGCCTGGCTAAACCTATTTTTTAAACAGAGACGACAGTAAAACACTCAGTACTTTTCTCTGGAAATTTAATAAAATAATGCATGTAAAATACTGAGTAAATATGAGTCACTCTGTAAATATTAGAGTTAAGGTCATCACCAAATACCCATAAGTGTTAATGAACTTCAAAATGTGCCTCTCCCACAGGCCTTGAAGTGTTTCCATATTAAATCAAGCTGCCCTCAGGAGGCCAGAGCGAATAACACTACTTAAACTAGCAGCCTCATTTTCTTGGGCAAATTGGCTTTAACAAAAAGCAGGTACCGGCTAGAAGCCTAAGGCATTTTCATTGCCCGCCCCCCCCCCCCCCCCCCCCCCCCCCCCGAAAAAAATTTTAAAAAGGGGGGGCCGGTCCCGAAGGTTTTTTTTTTTTTTTTTACACATTTGGGGCTGGCCACCCGGACAGGGAGGCGTTGAAGACAAGTATATAATTTCCCCCCTTCCCCGGGGGGGAATTTTTGGGAAAGACAAGACTGCTGCGGGGGCTTCCTCCCCGAGATCTGCAGGACAGAACGGGGCGGCGACACCGGGAAAAACCCCCGCTCTATGTATATTCCCGCTTTTGTGGGCGGGAAAGGGGAGAAAAAGAGAGGACTTTTTGGAAAAAGGTCTCTTTCACACCCTTCTAAGATTCCACAGGGGGGAAGAAAGTTAAGTTTTCCTTAATGCTATAAAAAGAATCTGTAAGTAACACTTTTAAATTAGGACTTTTCCTTAGAAACAGTGATTTCATTTAAACAAAAAAAAAATCTTTAGGATTCAGAGATGTGAAGGATTCTACAGCCCTTAGAGAGGATTTGGCAATAGGATAGATAAAAGCCTTGTTACCTTGGTAGCACCAGCAACAAAAATGGACTTAGTGAGAAAGTACAAGAACGCGGACTGTGTGGGCTGCCATAGCGGAACGCCACATCAAGCGTCAGATTTGGTTGGTTACCATCTTCTGAATCCTACAATCGGGCACCTGAGCTTAGAAGAGAGTTTGTAAACCCGTGTCAGCTCACACCTTGATAATGCTGACTTACAAGGGGCAAAAGGCTTTGTCGTGGGCTCAAGTCAGGACTGCTTTTATAGTAGCTTAAATGGAAAAAGTCCCCTTTATTCCTGGACAGCATTCAATTTCAAGTGGCTTGTCCTACCCCCGCTAGCCTGTAACATTGGCCGACGTGTAGTCTAAGGTTGCACCTGCTCCCGGAGGCACCCCAAGACAGGCTCCGGTCCACACCCCTTCTCACCTCCTACATGCCTCGCCTCCCTCCCTGCCTCCCTTGTGGTTCTGGAAGAGTTACCAGCCTTAGAAGCGCCTCTTGTTCGGGTTGGTAAAGGGAGCCCTTCCCCCAAGCGTGTGAACGTTCCATGGGCTGTGGGAAGCCTGGCTTACCTACGCTGTGCTCAGAAGCTTCTCCCCAAAACGCTCAAGATGAAGCTTGCCCAACCTCCTAGTCCATCCATGGCCACAGATTGCAATGCCTGTGGGGAGACAAACCACCAGCCTGGCAAGACTGCATTTTATTTCCTCTGTTTCCTACACCAAAACATGTGGGAACATGCGGTCTCCAGCCTGCCTAGCGCAAATCTCTGCTGTAGATTGGCAGGGTCTTAGGCCAGAACAGACATGTCTCAGTCACATGGACTCTGAGCTAGAACACGTTAGCAGCCTGCATGACTCAGGATAGCTACGCAGAGCAGCGTCTCCCACGGTGCCTTCCTCGGAATGCTGGAGGTGTTATCCTGTTCCCAGGTGGCACACACACAGACCTACGCTCAGGCACGTGCCCAGAACTCATGCATACACACACACACACACACACACTCAAGTGTGTTCTCACTCTTGACCACATTCTCCTCGCCTCTCTTGCTGTCTTAGAAGAGTTCTCACTGATCCCCTGACAGCTGTGCAACTGCTCCCATTGAAGATGCTTGGCCCAGGATACAGGGTAGGAATCTGCACCCTAGCCATTGCTATTCCTGAAGGGAGCTTCTCTGGGGCTGGGCCAAGCTGGAACCAGGAGCCTGTAACAGGTCTCCCACATAGATGGCAGGGGCTCAAGGACTTGGGCCACCCTCCACTGCCTTCCCAGGTACATTAGCAGGAAGCTGGATCAGAAGTGGAGCAGCCGGGACTGGTACTGGTGCTCAAATGGGATGCCAGTATTCAGGCGGTGGCCTAACCCACTGCTCCACAGCGCCAGCCCCCAAGGTCAACAGTTCAAACAAAAACATGGCAACTGGGGCCGGCACTGTGGCGCAGATGGGTAAAGCTGATGCCTGAAGCGCCGGCATCCTATATGGGCGCCGGTTCTAGTCCCAGTTGCTCCATTTCCAATCCAGCTCCCTGCTATGGCCTGGGAAAGCAGTGGAAGATGGCACCTGCGTGAGAGACCCGGAGGAAGCTCCTGGCTCCTGGCTTCACATCAGCGCAGCTCCAGCCATTGTGGCCATCTGGGGAGTGAACCAGTGAATGGAAGACCTCTCTCTCTCCCTCTCTCTCTCTCTCTCTCTCTCTGCCTCTCCTGTCTCTGTGTAACTCTGACTTTCAAATAAAAATAAATAAATCTTAAAAAAAAATGGCAACTGGGAAAGGGAGCTTTTGTGTGTTCTGCTTTGAGGTCAGACGTATGGGGAGAATTCCCAGCAGAGGAGACAGGCATTGAGGACCACAAGGAAGAACGGTAAATAGGTCAAATTCTTAGAGCTTGTAAGCCTGGGTTTAGCTTGCAAGAGCACAATGCCATGCAAATCATCGTCCTCATTCCACTGTGAAGGAATCCAGGCCCTTGGCTCCAACACAAACTCTGCCTCACAGTCCTCTCTCTGTCCCCTGCCCCCACATGCATTCATAGCATATATATATATTTCTCTTTGGGATTTGTATCTGGAAGCCAGGCAGATAGTTCTAACTGAAGCATGCTCTTAGCAACATTAAGTGTGGCAGAGATCACTCCACCAGTACACTGTCTCCTGAGAGCTGGCATTGGAAAGGAATAACATGGTCCCATTATCCAGGAACCGGGGAAATTCTGCCTCCTTTCATCAGAAAAGTTTTCAAAACCCAAAGATTTTATATTATTGCATTATACCAATAATATTGAGGTATTGCAGTGGTGTTATGATAAAATACATGTTTAATTTGTTTTCCTTCTAGATTCCAAGAGATGATCCTAAGACATTTAAACCTTGGTCGATCCCTGTAGCATAATACTTCTGTGATTTCCTTAAAGGTAAGATCAATAAGTTCAAAGATAATTACTCAAGTAGAAAAAAAAAAGTCAGCTAATCCAATGGTTTTCAAACCGTGTTCTGTGTAGCCTTAGGATTGCATGAGTGTTTAAAATAAGTTTTATTTTTAAATCAATTGATCTTATCCAACATTTTAATCCTTAATCACTAAACCTACATGTTTTTGGATGCTGACCATGGAAAGTTAAAGCGTTTTAATCAATATAGCAGTTTTTCTTTATATTTTATAATAAAACTAAACATGAGAATGTAGTAGATTCAGATATTTTAATTCTACTCTCTGATTTATTCGAGATGCACTTACAACATGAATGCAAAACACTACATTGAAATATACTGATTATTTCCTTTGAAATTAACTAGAGCTATTTGGAAGACCTAGCTATTGGTATTTGTTGAGCTATAATTTTGTTTTGCTTAACACAAAATGCAGAGCGCTGAAGGCTCTGGAGGATGGCCACAGCAAATCTGCAGGAAATGTATGCCGATCAGAACGAACACATTTTCATTGTTAGCAAAACAAACTCGGGCTTCTCTGCACACTTAATGGGCAACAACAGAAAAAATTGATGTTTTCATTAAAAGATAATTTTTCAATTAAATGTCTAAAACAAGCACTAGTATTTATATGTGTGTTTTTATTCCCATTGTATTTTTCTTTTTTATTATTTTTCCCATTGTATTTTTCATATGAGAATAACTTGCTTTGATATTTTCACAAAATCATAATAAATTTGAGAATGTATTTCTCCTTTTAATCAACAAAAATCAAAATGTGCACATTTAAAATTATTGTAAAGTACGGCATCGCATATCAGAGTGCCTAGGATCAAGTCCTGCCTCTGTTTCCAATTCAGCTTCCTGCTAATGTGCTTAGGAAGCAGTAGATGATGGCCCAAGTACTTGGGTTCCCACCATCAAAGTGGGAGACTTGGACAAAGTTACTGGCTCCTGACTTCAGCCTGGCCCAGCTCTGGCATTCATTTGATGATGAACCAGCCAATGGAAGATCTTCTCTCTCTCTCTCTCTCTCTCCCCCACCCTCACCCCACACTCTGCCTCTCAAGTAAATATCTTTTTTAAAAATACAAATCCATAAAAATTATTGTGAAATAGTAATTTTAAAGCAGACACTTTAAGTATGCAGGAAAGAAATATGTAAGCTCTGTTTTTCCTTTTGGAGTTTACTTATTTCTTCCAATAACACATAGAAATTATAATAACTTTTCAACAATGTGAATACGATGGCAGATCCACTCTAATTCCTAAATGAAGCACTTAGCATTGTGTCTGAACCTGGTATTCAAGAAAGTATAGACACCACCCCACACCCCTCCCCACCACACACACTCAATGGGCTAAAAACCAGGCATCAACAAATTAGATATCAGCAGCGAATGAACTGGATTGTCAAGTTCTAGTGCACACTTTAAGATAAAGACCATCCTCAGATTTCAAGGCAAATTTTAAAACCAAAAACCGAAACACAACTTTTGGCACTTTACCATTTATGACTATTTGTGTGTCAGAATGTTCTTCAGGCAATCTAAGTTAAATGGAGACATGAAGTGCATTCCAAAGGTCACTTCAGATTACTTTTGTCCTTTACCTGTAATTTCAAGTGTTTGCATTCTTCAAAGTAGCATAATTGGTCTCATCCAGGTACTTTGTAAACAGATGTTCAACTTTGACCTAATAAATTGATACCACACTTAAATTATATATTTGTGCATGGATGTGTGTTCCTGAAAACATTTTCAACTTGTGCTAAAAAATGTTTGAAATTCTCCGTTCTCATTCAGTTTCTAATCTTATAAATAAAGACATAGAGGCTGAGGGAGACTAAGCAACCACTCAGGTGTTTTTATTCATAGCTGCACAGCTCCCCAGTCCAATTTTCTCATTGGTCTTCTCCCCTTGCATAAAAGGCAAGGCATTTACATATTTGGTTTTCTAATTATTCTCTTTTTTCCCCAGGTGTTTCAGATTTTCATGAATGAAAAATGGCTTATTGATTTTTGCTGGACTCCAAATTGCTATTTCCATAATGTTATGGAACCACACACATACACACACACACACACACAATCTAGAAACTAGATTCGAACTTGATTATATTAACAAGATGAATCATTATTTACAAATCATTTAGTTAGACTGTCTAGGCTAGAGGCCACCAGACAGGTACTGTAGTATCCAAGGGAGACAGGTTTATTGCTGATTGCTTTAAAAACAAGCAGGGGCTGGGGTTCTGGCACAGTGGGTTAAGCCAGCTGCTGCAAAGCCAGCATCCCATATGGGTACCGATTTGAGTCCTGGCTTCTCCACTTCTAATCAAGTGCCCTGCTCATATGCCTGGGAAAGCAACAGAAGAAGTGCTTGGGCCCCTGCACCCATGCAGGAGACCACAAGAAGCGCCTGGCTCCTGGATTTGGCCTGACCCAGCCTCAGCCATTTGGGAAGTGAACCAGTGGATGGAAGATCTCTCCCTCTTTCTCTCTGTAGCTAATTCTGCCTTTCAAATAAATAAAATAAACCTTAAAAATCAAACAAATATATAAATGTTGCTGTAATCACTAAATCTCCCTTTCTGGGCGCTTGCAGTCTGCGTAGACTGGTAATACAGATCACAATCATTGAGTGAGAGACATTTCTCAGTAGAGAAAGATGTAATCACTTTCCCAGTGATGTATTTGATTCAGAAGCCACAGGGTAGCAGCATATATTTTTGTTCCATTTAAGCCATAGATTGGTCTCTGGATGTGCACTTGACAGCAAAGGAAAGATACTTTCTTAACATAAATCTGCTATTTGGTCAGCATTCTTTTGGAATTTAAAGGATTTTTTCTTTATTGATGAAAAGCATTCAATCTTTGAAGACAGTTTCAGAAATACCATGTGGCTCAGTTTCCCACACATCAAAGTGGGTAACGTGGAGCAAAGGAATCATAAATTGTCATCCTGCCTGCGCTGTGGCTTAAAACATGAAGAATCCACCAACTTCCATTAACCTGAGCTGTAGGGGCCTGCCAAGGAGGAGAAATCAGCATGCAAATTAGGCCTCATCTGACCACAGAGGAGGGGGAAAACAGGCCCTTGAGGAGCAGAAGTCACGTGACCAGGCTCAGCCCACCCTGGTCTGGAGCAAGTTTGAAGTGTTTGAAGAAGGTGAGGCAGAGCTGAGTGTGCCAGGTGGCTGGGGAGCTGAACGGTGTAGCCCAGGGGAGGCCGAAGGCCACGGGGGCCATCAGCTTTGCATGAAGGGACTGCGGCTCAGCTGCCCACAGCCCCGCTTCTGGCTTTGGGGGACACCCTAGACTACAGGAGCCCAAGGAAAGACGTGGGGCAGGGGCACAAAGAGAAAGGAGACACTGAACCAGCGCTGTGGCTCAGTGGGTTAAAGCCCTGGGGTGAAGCGTCGGCATCCCATATGGGCGCCGGTTCGAGACCCAGCTGCTCTACTTCCAATCCAGCTCCCTGCTATGGCCTGGGAAAGCAGTAGAAGATGGCCCAGATCCTTGGGCCCCTGCACCCGCGTGGGAGACCCAGAAGAAGCTCCTGGCTCCTGGCTTCTGATCAGCGCAGCTCCAGCCATTGCGGCCATCTGGGAAGTGAACCAGCAGATGGAAGACCTTTCTGTCTCTACCTCTCTCTGTAACTCTGTCTTTCAAATAAATAAAATAAATCTTAAAAGAGAGAGAGAGAAAGAGAGAGAGAGAGAGAGAGAGAGAGAGAAGACAGAGAAGAGCTGGGAACTCAGTGGCAGTGGCTGGGGTGAAACAAAGTGAAGGGGCCAGCACCGTGGCTCATTGCATCTCATATGGGTGCCAAGTTCTAGTCCCGGTTGCTCCTCTTCCAGTCCAGCTCTCTGCTGTGGCCCAGGAGTGCAGTGGAGGATGGCCCAAGTGCTTGGGCCCCTGCACCCGTGTGGGAGACCAGGAGGAAGCTCCTGGCTCCTGGCTTCGGATCAGCGTCGCTCCAGCCATGGTGGCCATCTGGGGAGTGAACCAATGGACTGAAGACTTCTCTCTCTCTGCCTCTCCTCTTTCTGTGTAACTCTGACTTTCAAATAAATAAATCTTAAAAAAAAAAAAAAGAGAGAATGAGAGATGTTGGTTTTATCACTTGTATCACTTTAAATGATGGTAAATACTCTTTATTAAAAAACTTGGTCTATTAGGGATAAGGGTGGTTAGTGGGCATTTATTCATTTACCATACTATAAGGCAGTAAAAAAAGAAGGGAGGGCGGGTAGTATCTGAATAAAAATTTTCCTTGTGAGTTGATGCTGAAAAACCTGCGCTTGTAGGGCCAGTTTTAGGCCTGCCACTTGGGATGGCTGCATCCTATATCAGAATGCCAGTACTTGGGGCTGGTGCTGTGGCGCAGTGGGTTAACACCCTGGCCTGAAGCACTGGCATCCCATATGGTTGCCGGTTCTAGTCCCAGCTGCTCCTCTTCCAATCCAGCTCTCTGCTATGGCCTGGGAAAGCAGTGGAAGATGGCCCGAGTCCTTGGGCTCCTGCACCCACACAGGAGACCAAGAAGAAACTCCTGGCTCCTGGCTTTGGATCAGCCCAGCTCCAGCCATTGCAGCCAATTGGGGAGTGAACCATCGGATGGAAGATCTCTCTTTCTCTCTGCCTCTCCTCTCTCTGTGTAACTCTGACTTTCAAATAAATAAATAAATCTTTAAAAAAAAAAAGAATGCCAGTATTCAGTACTTTATTAATATCCGTGCCATCCCAGATTTTTTTGTAAAGATGTATTTATTTAATTGAAAGAGAAGGAGTGGGGAGAGAAAAAGAGAGAGAGAGAAAGAGAGAGAGATCTCATCTGCTGGTTCACTCTACAGATGGCCACACAACAGCCAGTGAGGGGCTGGGCCAGGAGGCTGGAACTCAATCTGGGTCTCCCACGTGGGTGGCAGGGACCCAGATATTGGAACCACCACCTGTTGACTGCCAGAGTTTGGCATTAGCAGGAAGCTGGATCAGAAGAGGAGGCAGTACTTAAACCCAGAGGCCCTGATACAGGATGCAGGCTTCCCATGCTGTGCCAAATGCCCACCCCCAGAACTGTTTTTTAAAGAAAACTAATTTTATCCCACAAAGGTCTGGGAACTCCTCCAAGACAATTTTAATCCTGCATTGTAAGAGTGGGACCTGAAAGGCATCCTAAGAAGAGAAGTTCTACTTTTTGTCATCAGAGAAATTGGAATTAAATCTACTTAATGGTATACTCTATGGCCTTCTTTTGGAATAATTATTAATTATATTATCATTAGCTTATTTGGAAGGCAAAGCAGCCCTACTTACTGAGTTTCTGTGAGAAATTATGAATAACGTGCAGATGTTTGGGGAAGAGTGACATCCTCTACACAGGCGAGGTCTGCTAGGACCACACTCAGTGTGGCAGCAGCCATGCTGTTCCGCAGGCAGGAGCAGGACTGTTGCTGCTGTGACTACTAGTGTGGCAGTGTCGAGGTCCTGGTCAGTGCAGGTGTTTTTTTTTTTTGTTTTTGTTTTTTTTTTTTGTTTTTGTTTTGTTTTTTTTGACAGGCAGAGTAGACAGTGAGAGAGAGAGACAGAGGGAAAGGTCTTCCTTTTGCCGTTGGTTCACCCTCCAAAGGCCGCCACGGCTGGCGTGCTGCGGCCGGCACACTGCACTGATCCGAAGGCAGGAGCCAGGTGCTTCTCCTGGTCTCCCATGGGGTGCAGGGCCCAAGCACTTGGGCCATCCTCCACTGCCTTCCTGGGCCACAGCAGAGAGCTGGCCTGGAAGAGGGGCAACCGGGACAGAATCCGGCGCCCCGACCGGGACTAGAACCCGGTGTGCCGGCGCCGCAAGGCGGAGGATTAGCCTAGTGAGCCGCGGCGCCGGCCAATGCAGGTGCTTTTTCAGTGCGAGAAAAAAACTTTCTGCCACGAAGAGCACCCCCAGAAGTGAACTTGATTTAAAGGGGGGGGCACCCAGGAAAGACAGCCTCCTAAACAAGCCAAGGCATTTGAGAAACTTTCCTGATACAGAAGTGTTTACAGCTAGGGTCAACAGTAAGATTTCTTACTGTGGTATACTAAGAGAGATAACTGGTAAGCAGTAAAGTCTTTTCTACATAATCCAATAGGGAGCGATTGCGTGCCATCATGTGTTACCCTTGTTTGTTTTTGTTTTGTTTTAATAAATATTATGAATGTTATATAATTTGAGATGTATCTATGATGATTACCCAAAATATCAGCTATTTGGAAATGCTTTTTTTTTTTAAAGATTTATTTAGTTATTTGAAAGGCAGAGTTACAGAGAGGCAGAGGCAGAGGTCTTTCATCCGCTGGTTCACTCCCCAGATGGCCATAACAGCCAGAGCTGCACCGATCCAAAGCCAGGAGCTTCTTCCGAGTCTCCCACATGGGTGCAGGGGCTCAAGGACTTGAGCCATGTTCCACTGCTTTCCCAAGCCATAGCAGAGAGCTGGATCCGAAGTGGAGCAGCCGGGACTTGAACTGGCTCCCATATGGGATGCCAGCACTGTAGGCAGCTGCTTTACCTGCTATGCCACAGCACTAGCCCCTGGAAATGTTTTGGTTTGAATGCATCTCCCAAGGGTTCATGTATTGGGAATTTAATCACCGAAGTCTATGTTGATGGTATTTGGATGCAGCGGCCTTGGGGAGGTAATGGGAATTGGATGAGATCGTGAGTGTGGGAGCCCCAGGGTGGCATCCGTGACTTTGTATGACCTGAGCTGCCACACCCACTCTGTCTCACTGATACCTTCTGCCATGCTATGATGCAGCAGCAAGAGGGCCCTCACCAGATGCCACAGTCTCACTCAAGGACTTCCCAGCCTTCTGCGCCACAGACTAAAAAAATCCCTGTTCTTTATAAATTATCAGCCTGTGACATTCAATTACAGCCACAGAACACAGAATAAGACAACATGTCACTTCAAACTGCTTTCTACATAAAGGAGCAAGAGCCTTTGCCTTAATCTATCATCCTTGCTATGTGGAGAGCAGAAGAGAGAGGGAAAGGGAAGAAACAGGGACAGGTGTTTGGTGCCTCAGTGAGACACCATCAGGGACATGCACATCCAAATTGGAGTGCCAGTGCCTGAGTTCAAGTCCTGGCTCCACCCCTGATTTCAGCTTCCTGCTAACATGCATCCTGGGAGGCAAAAGATGATGGCTCAAGTACTGGGGTCCCTGCCATCCACATGGGAGGTGCAGACTGAGTTCTGGGCTCCTGGCTTCACATTGACCAAGCCCTGGCTGTTGTGGGCGTCTGGGAAGTGAACCAGTGGATGGAGAGCTCTGTCTGCCTGCCTTTCAGATAAAAATGAAAATAGAAAAAAAGAGGTTGAGAGTGAGAATGACAGAGCACCTCTGCGCTAGGATTTTTGAATCCCTAAGCCTCCCATTTATTCCAGTCTATTCAAATATCTAAATAATAGGTTGTGTTTGTTTAAAAGATAGTACTATGGACCAAATTTTTAAGTAAGTTTATTGTATCTTTATTATATCAAATAATAATAATAATAAAATAACTATGAAAATCATCCTATGCAGCCAGTAAAAGAAATGGTATGTAAGAGATATGTAGCAATTGAATGATGTGTCCCCTATTTTTCATCTAAAGTGCAATTATTTGAAAGACCACTGCACCTCAAAACCCATCATTGTAAAAGTGTTATTGAGACTGTGAAAATGCTTCTAGGATGGGCATTTGACATAACAGTTAAGATGCAGCCTGCTAGGCCTGCATTCCAAATCCGGCAAGTCCTCCAGAACAGTACTTTTAGATTAAAATGTTTTCAACTACTTAAAGGAAAGGTGCTAGGTGCAACACATGAACTTCACATTAAAATTGACCTTGGCTGTGGAAATAGACACAAAAGTTTCTTTTTCAGAACCGAGTAGCAATAGATCTTTATTCCAAGAACTAGAAGGGTGCCAAGAACCTGTCTCCTAAAGCACATTGTTTCCCTTGAAAATAGAAAAGAATCTGTACCTCTGTGCTGTGGGTCTTGCTGATGTAGAACATTTTATGTACTTGCCTAGATACTGTATCATACACACCCACACACACTTATGTAAGCATATATATATTTACATATGAGTTTGACTAGGAGTATTTTCATTTTTAAAATCTTTATTTGTGGCCAACACCGTGGATCACTTGGCTAATCCTCCACCTGTGGCACCAGCACCCCAGGTTCTAGTCCCAGTCAGGGCACTGGATTCTGTCCTGGTTGCTCCTCTTCCAGTCCAGCTCTCTGCTGTGGCCCAGGAAGGCAGTGGAGGATGGCCCAAGTGCTTGGGCCCTGCACCCCATGGGAGACCAGGAGGAAGCTCCTGGCTCCTGGCTTCAGATCAGCGTAGCGTGCTGGCCGTAACGGCCATTTGGGGAGTGAACCAACGGAAGGAAGACCTTTCTCTCTGTCTCTCTCTGTCTAACTCTGCCTGTCAAAAAAAAATCTTTATTTTTTATTGTTATTTGTTTATTATATTTGAAAGAGAGAGAGACAGACAAAGAGCTCCCATCCACTGGTTCACTCCCCAAATACCCACAATAGCTGGGGCTGGGCCAATCCAGGAGTTGGGAACTCAATCCAGATCTCCCACGTGGGTGACAAGGACCCAAATACTTAAGGCATCACCTGCTGCTCCCCGGGATGTGCATTAGCAGGAAGCTAGAGTAGGTAGCCATAGCCAGGATTTGAACCCAGGTACTCAGATGTGGGATGTGGGCAGCTTATCTGCTAAGCAATATGCACAATCCTTGCTAGATCGTTAGTTGGGCTGGCTATAAAAAAGAGAAGACACAAGTGACCAAATACGGGAATGAAAGAGGAAGTATCTCTACCAACCTTAGGAATGAAAAAGATTTTAAGAGAACACTACAAACAACTTTATAACAACAAATCTGACAACTTACATGAAACAACAAATTCCCAGAAAAATACAAATCATCAAAGCTAGCTAAAAAAGAAAGTGAACATTTGAATAGATAAATAACAAGTAAAGGAATTGAAGTAGTAGTCAGAAATCTTCCCACAAAAGAAAGCCCAGGCCCAAATGGCTTCACTGGTGAATTCTATCAAATATTTCAAAAATAAATAATACCTACACAAACATGTTGGGTAAGGGGTGGGCATTTGGTGCAGTGGTTAATATCCCACTTTGGACACCCACATCCCTTATTGGAGTGCCTTGATCAAGTCCCAGCTACTCTGCTTCTGATCCAACCTCCTGCTACTATGCATCTTGGGAGTCAGCAGATGATGGCTCATGTGCTTGGGTCCCTGCCTCCCCCGGGGAGACCCAGATGGAGTTCTAGGCTCCTGGCTTTGACCCGTCCCAGCACTAGCTGATGCAGGCACCTGGGGAGTGAACCAGCAGATGGACATCCTTGTCTCTCGCTCACTTGCTCATTCCTTCTGCCTTTCACATAAAAACCAAAAACATTATAAATGTTATAAAATGTTGTGGCATAACATGTTAAGCTCCTCATGGGAGACCCAGATGAAGCTCATGGCTTTGAAAAAAAGAGAAAGTTATATAAACTATAAGGGGGTCGGCGCTGCGGCTCAATAGGCTAATTCTCCGCCTTTGGCGCCAGCACCCTGGGTTCTAGTCCTGGTCGGGGCGCCGGATTCTGTCCTGGTTGCTCCTCTTCCAGACCAGCTCTCTGCTGTGGCCCCAGAGTGCAGTGGAGGATGGCCCAGGTCCTTGGACCCTGCACCCCATGGGAGACCAGGAGAGGCACCTGGCTCCTGGCCTCGGATCAGCGTGGTGCGCAGGCTGTGGCGCACTGGCCGCAGTGGCCATTGTGGGTTGAACCAACGGAAAAAAGGAAAACCTTTCTCTCTGTCTCTCTCTCACACTTTCCACTCTGCCTGTCCAAAAAAAAAAAAAAAAAAAAAAAAAGCCAATTTGAGGCAGCCTTGGGCCTTATCTAATCAGACATTTCCTTCAAGCTTTGAACTGCTCCTCCTCCCCTTATAAGACCAATACAGCATTTATCAAGCAGGCATGGAATATATCATGGGGAACTCTAGTTTGTCTGAGGATACCAATGACAAGGCAACAGAAAGATATGATACCCCAATTTTGAGAGTTAGAAGGGTGTTATCCACCATGTAAAGCAACTTGTACCCACATTTAGAGAAGTTAAAGTGCTTTCTTGAAATCAAGCATGCCTTGTGCTTTTAAGATTCCTTATACTCTTGCCTGTAATTTGTTCATTCTTGCTGATTACGGTAGTCCATTGGGTGAATACACTAACATTCATTTATCCAAGGGCCAGCATTGTGGCATAACGGAAAAACTGCCACCTGCAGTGCCAGCATCCCATATGGGTGCCAGTTCAAGTCCTGGCTGCTCCATTCTGATCCAGATCCCTGTTAATGCACTTGGCCAGTGGAAGATGGCCCAAGAACTTTGGCCCCTGCACCCATGTGGGAGTCTGGGAAGAAGCTTCTGGTTTCTGGCTTTGGTCTGGCCCAGCTTGGTCATTGTGGCCATCTGGGGAGTGAACCAGTGGATGGAAAATTCTCTCTCTCTCTCCCTCAACCTCTCTGTAACTCTGCCTTTCAAATAAATAAACAAGCAAACTTATTTATCCATTAAAAAAAAAAACCCAGTGTACATCCTCCTTTAAATATCTGTCTTCAAACATTCCTATAAGAAAGTCAGTTCTTCCTCAAAGTTACTTAGCACTCTTCTTTTTCCTCCATGATTAGCTCTGTAATAAAAGTTCTGGATTTAGCAGATCTACTCCAGACTTTCTAAAGCATATTGCTTGCTACATGTTGAAGGAGCACTAAAATTAGTAAGAAGTAGTCGTTGCATCAAAAATTTCAGTTTAGGATTAAAGATGAGACAC